TATGCCGGGGCATGGAGCTATCCAATGTCGGGCGAAGATTTCGCCATGACGGGGCCCAGTGGGAGCAGCGGGCACTTCTGCTGGGCAGGATGAGGCTAGACCCGTAGACAGAGTTGACTGTCAGCTGCCAAGGATGGCGGACCTTTATGCGGGGCCTAATACACCTTTGTCCAAAGCCTTTATCTTTTGTGGTTGGGAGACCATTTCAGTGGATTGGATGTTGGATAGGAGTCATGACCTATCCAACAGCCTCAGGCAGCAATCGTTGCATGAGCAGTTGCAGTCCGTGTGCTTCATAGCAGCAGCTTTGGATTGCTCTACCAAGAGCCGCGCGAGGGAAATTCCGCGGGACTTTGGTGATGGGCGCCCACCACCCCGGCCGTTGCGGTCTGAGCAGCACCCGCTGGGTCTACCTGAGTTGACAGGTTCTCAGCAGACACGGGTGGAGCAGGATAATGCGGCTGCGAGTTTTGTACTGTCTGAGATCGACCAGTTGGTGGACAGGGGTGGTGGGTCAGTCCGCGAGAACCCATACAACAGCCTCCATTGGTGGACACCGGATGAGGTGGCGATGTGGGAGAGCGGTCGCTGGTCCGACCAGCGGTATTCAGCCTGCTGTTTTGGTGGTGCAAGATCGAAGCTGCAGCGGTTGCGCCACAACATTGCAGAGATCGCTCAATGGCCTCGAGCTGACTGCAACCATTTCCATGATCCCCAGGAATGGGAACCTTGGGTCCAGAATGGTAAGCGCCATTTCCCTTCAGCTGAGGAGTCCGAGTATACAGCAGAGCTCTGCTTTGCGATTGCCACGGCAGCTTCGTGGTGGGCAGTGCGTGTTGGACACGCCAAGCTCTATGTGCCGAGGTCCCCATCGCCGAGTTGTACTGGGCATCGGGACCATTGGCTTGACCTCGATCCTAGAGCACTTCGTGAGTGGGCTATGACCCCACTGGCCATCAGCCTGGGCTTGAGGCCTTTGGACACAGCTGAAGCGGCTAGGGTGCCCACGAGAGCATGTGTTGAAGATGTCTTGCAACAGGGCGCCCTTCCTCCCGGTCATGTGTATGTGGGGCTTGGAAATCATAACCACCGCCTACCGACCACCAAGTGGAAGTCTCCATGGCAGGTGGGAGTGAATTGCACCCCTCAAGACTGGGTTCCCTACTACGTCCAGTACATCAGGGAGACACTCTGGTGCGAGTTGGATGAGCTCGAGGGAGCAGTGCTAGTCTGTGATTGCCCTGCAGGCCAAACTTGTGAGGCCGACCTCCTAGCCGGGTTAATTTTTGATCGATTGAGCGAGCAGGGCCAGCGGAGTGCCCCCCAGGTGGTCCAAGGTCATTCTTGCAGGAGTCCCCAGGGAGTTACCCGGTGTGTCCTCTTGTCCAGTGTAGCGCGGGCTACAGGTATCCCCTTCGGGCCATTTTACATTCTGCAGGAGTCCTTGGCGTTAGCGTTCAAGAAGCTGTACCCAGGCGAGTGGTTCGAGGGAGTTGCCATCCCCTTTGTGGAGGACTTGGTGAACCAGCACCCACTTGACCTATTTGTGCGATGGCGCCACCAACAAGGGCTGGACATGGAGGGCAGCTGTAACCCGGTGTTGGCAGCCCCTTCAGTGCGGCAGAAGATGAGGACTGCAGAAGGGCAACAGGTGGGAGCGATCAACCACAGAGCGGCGTTGGCCCCCCTTCTGCCCTTTCACCTTCAGCCAGACCAGCATTTCGAGCAAGCCCTTCAGCTCAGCATGCAACAGTTGCCTACTGAAGGGCTTCCCATTTTGGATGAGGATCTGAGGTTTGCTGCATCTTTCTCTAGCCTGCCAGGAGTTGACCTGCGCAGGTTGCGAGAGCGCGCCATGGGCATCTTGTCTGAGATGAAGAGACGGTGGAGCTCGATCACAGCCCATTTGAGACGCAAACAGACTGAGGCCATCAGAACGGCAACAATGCAGCGTGACATCGGCTTCACTGCAATTCTTCTTCTTGTAGCCAATTGGGGTGACGTGACACTGCCAGCAGGCCTGTGTATGGGGCTTCCCGCAGTGGGTTACGCGCCCCCATATGGCATTTTTCCGGAACAAGTTGCCACACGTTTGACAAGAGAGGAGGTACTCCAGGACTGGCAGAGCCACAACAACACCATTTTGGCTCGGCTCAAGCCAGGTGCCGATGATGAATTTTTGTTGCAACAAAGCCTGAAAGATGCTGAGAAAGGGTTTTGTGGGTTGCCCATGACTGCAGAGGAACTGCAGCGTTGTCTGGGTGCGGAACCCTACCGATTGATCCCGCGATGTGTCATCACACAATCCTCGGGGAAGCAACGAGTGATTGATGACGCTTATGTTGGCTTGCAATCTGAGCGTTCCAGTGATGCAAACAAGCTCACCCTTTGCTCAGCGTTGCGGCCAGCCCAACACCTGCAGTATGCCTACGCCTTTGGGAGGTCACCCAACTGGGAGACCGAAGAATGGGAGTCTGGAGGTGAGGATTGGTCAGACGCCTATCGGTTTTGCCCTATGAGTTGGGATGAGGCCTTATGCTGCATTGTGGCTTTCTTCCATCATGAATGGCAACAACCAGCGTTTATGATTTATACAGGTCTGCTCTTTGGTCTTCCTCTTGCAGTCACATCGTTCAATCGATACAGTCGTTTTGTGGAAGCATTATCACGTCGATTTGCTTTTTGTTTGACCAGTCTGTATTTCGATGATGCTCACTTGACAGACCGCAAATCGTGCCGGGGATCAGGTCAGAGAGCTTTGCAGACTCTCAACACCCTTTTGGGTACACCATTTTCCGAGGAGAAATGTCAGAAGATGCAGAGTACCGGCACCTTTTTGGGCCTGGATCATGATTTCAGTCAAGTCCATTTGAAGGGTCTGGTTCAGTTTTGGGCCCGTGAACGCATCGAGACCAAGCTGCTTCATCTCATGCAGACTGCCGAGGAATCCGGTAAGCTGCAACCAGGGGTGGCAGCCAAGCTCTACGGTATCGCCAACTTCTTTGAGCTTGGCGTGTGGGGGCGTATTGGCTGCGGTGGCTTGGCTCCCATCAAGCACAGACAGCAGGAGCGCTCTTCAGAGTTAACTGAAGAGTTGCGCTAGAGCTTTGACCTGCTACGCACTGTCATCACCACCCGGCCCTCTCGCCACATTGAGATCTGGCCACATGCAGGGCTCCGCTTCCTTGCTGCCTCGGATGCTGCGTTGGAGAGCCCAGGTCAGGGGACTGGAGGCTTTTTGGTGGTGTGGCACGACGATCACAGGCAACATCGGGAAGCTTTTGTTTCTCTCATTCCCCCATTGGTCTACAGCCTCTGGGAGCCTGGTGACAAGAAGATTGCCCAGTTAGAGCTGCTGCAAGTGCTCTACGCCTTGTTTTCTCGGCCGTCCAGATTTCGAGGCAGACGAGGGCTTTGGTTCATCGACAACACAGCAGCGTTGATGGCATTGATCCGAGGTCGTTCTGACAATGCAGATTTAGAGCATATGTCACGGTTGATTCATATTACTCTTTTTGGTCTTAAGGCTTGGTTTTTCTGGGAGTGGATCCCTAGCAAGGCCAACTGGTCTGATGAGATCAGCCGTGAAGGCCTCCAGGCAACATGGCACAAACGCCATGGGTTCACCACGCATTTTGCATTTTTCCCCTTCGAGATTTGGTCTCTACCACTTCCCGCGTTTCTCCGGGTTGTGGAGTTTCTCTGAGTGCTTTGGGATGAAGTGCATTGGGAGAGATTCAACCTGTGTAGCCTCCTGAGTTTACAGGAGTGCGGAACAGGGTGTACGGATCCAACCAGTGCTGCTGTGCAGGAGACTACCTGCACAGCGTTCCAAAGCACTATCCTGCGAGGAGCAGGTTGAGACCGCACGAAGAGTTTGGGAAGAAAAAGCCATGCGGATGTGAGCCTGGATAGAGTGAACCGTTTTGAGTATCTATGCTTTACATCTCACAACTAATGTATGTATGCATCGTGTTTGGCAGGCACTGGGTGTGCATTATCATTAGGGTGAGTATGTAAGCTGATGAATCCATTTTGGCTCAAGTCTGAGCCAAACTGGCTTCATCGTTCTTTCTTTTCCCTCCCTTCCCTCCCTATGAGGTAGGACTCCGGTGGAGTATCCTCCCTTGTAGGGGATCACATCATTGAGGATGCTGATCTCTACGTGGAGTCCCACGACTGTAGCACTGGGCGGGAGAGATTCAACCTGTGTAGCCTCCTGAGTTTACAGGAGTGCGGAACAGGGTGTACGGATCCAACCAGTGCTGCTGTGCAGGAGACTACCTGCACAGCGTTCCAAAGCACTATCCTGCGAGGAGCAGGTTGAGACCGCACGAAGAGTTTGGGAAGAAAAAACCATGCGGATGTGAGCCTGGATAGAGTGAACCGTTTTGAGTATCTATGCTTTACATCTCACAACTAATGTATATATATATATATATATATCCAGCTTTATTCCAATCAGTCCACTCAGTCCAATCAGTCCAATCAGAATCAGATAGAATCAGCATATATATATATATACGTATATATAATATATAATATATATATAATATATAATATATAATATATATATAATATATATATAATATATATATAATATATATATAATATATATATATAATATATATATATATATCATGAAACCCAGAATTTTATTTATGGAGAGTGTTATGGGGCTGCGATGGGGATGTGATGGGGATAAATAATGATTAGTATAGGGGTTACACCACGTGGTTAAACTGGAAGTGTCAGAAGCCATGAGAGGACCTCTAGGATGATGGGTCCTGATCATCATTGATTGGGATGATGCTTTGTATTTGTATTGGAAGAAGGGACAATGAAGTATTATCCCTATTCTTACCCAGGGTCAAAACTACTCGGCATCATGATCAGTCTGCTGTTATGCCAACTTCAACTTCAACTTATCCATAAAGTGGATGATTGTAGATCCCCAAAAAACGACCACATGTGCCAGCTTTGTGCCGTATCCAGCTGAGGAGCGAATCTGCCAACACCGAAAAGGAGAAAAGGTGGGCCCCTGCCATCTCTTCTTTGGTGCACGCTACAACGCAGCAACTGGGTGGCATGGGCCATGGCCGGTTGCATTCGTTGTCCATCCGAAGGTTTGAATGAATTGTTTGGGATCCCTCAATGAAGAGTGAGTGATCCTTCGTTGAGTTCAGGGTCATCGACGTTTCGATCACGTAATCTGAGATCCCTCAATGAAGACATATGAAGACCCACTTGGACTTTGGTTGAGGGTTACCAAAACCAGCCAAAAATTGAATCTGTGGATTGCTGGTGATCAAAAATTGATTCAAAACCAGCCTGTTTTGTAGCAAAATGGAATCACACATTGGTTGAACATTGTTCTGAGGAGTATTTGTACAAGGACGAGTTTGAAGGTTACGTGAAGGAGGGCGTGCTGACGATGCACACGGCCTTCTCGCGTGAACAGGCCAGCGCCAGCTGTCATGGGAGGTTGTGACTGTCCAATTCAATGAAGTATTTGATGCAACTTGTTGTAAGATGTTGTAAGTTTGACAGAACCAAACCATCATTTTCTCCAGTGAACCAAGGAGCTACAAAACCAGAACCGTTCAATTTATTGTCGTAGCGCTGCGGGGGGAAATGGGTTTTTGAGCGCCAAATCGTAGTTCAAACCTCTTCCCCTCCAGTATAAATAGACTCCTGTGAGACTTGGATTCTGGAAGAACGCCTGATGGACATTTGCTGGGCCTCTTGACCTTGAGTCATTGAGATGTAAATTACACCTCTTGACCACGAGACCACCAGGCCCGAAAGATCTATGTGCAGCACAAGATTGTGGAGGCGACATGTCCAACTTGTGGCCACGTCCGTCGAATTCGATCAGTGGAGTGATTCATCACTGGATTGAATCGATGAGTTCAGTGGGCACAGGTTTTTGGGCCATGGGCCTTGCCATGGGCCTTCAATGGCTCAAGTCCTTGATGAAAGTGCCCATCTGTGAAGCCCATCTGTGAAGCCACCCTTAAAATTGGTGTCTGGGAAATTTGCAGCAACAATCCCGTATTTGATGGGAACAACATGGAACATTGATTTTCTGTAGATTTTCCGTCCAACCTATTGAAAGTTGCACCCTGAGTCACTTGATACTGTCAGGCGGGTCAGGCCGTCCACGAGTGCATGCTGAAGCAGGAGGGCCACTTCTACGTGTGTGGCTCCGCGCGACAAGTGCCTGAGGACATCTACACGGCCATGAAGGAGGTCAGATTTTGGTGGAACATCGGCCGTTTTTTGTAGTGGGAACATGTTAGTAACCATAGATGCCATAAGTAGTTCACCCATGGGAGAACATGTTAGTAACCATAGATGCCATAAGTAGTTCACCCATGGGATAATTTAGGATATTTAGGGGACTTAGGATCACCAGGGTTACTAAATGTTAAGCACCAAGCACGGATTCCTGGGATGCTCCAGGTGATGATGGCCAACGAGCGAGTGAACGAAGATGAGGCAGAGGCCATCTTGTCAAACCTGAAGATGGAGGGCCGCAACTTGGTTGGACCTGGATCCAAAATTGGTTGCGAAACTTGGAGGTTTCCTAAGTCATGGGGGTACCCCTTAAATGACTTAGTGACTTAGTGACTTGAAACACGCCATTTTCAGAAACCACCATTTGGGGTTTCATGTCCAACGGGGTTTGATGAGGATAGATGAGGTCCCCTCCGGATCTTTGTTCACCTTAGGTAGTGACGGCTTTGTTTGATTTATGGTGGGAGCCTGGAGGGTCACTGGAGACCAATCCAGCGGTTTTTGATCCCACAGGAAGGCTCAGAATGTCTGGAACTGGAATTGGAACGTTCATGTCGAGTTTCTTCCAAATTACCATGACTCAAGGCATTCAATATTGATACAACGACTCTGGACATCTAGACTTTATACCCTGGCCAGAGTCCCTGAAGAGTATAGGGAACAGAAACTTTACCGCTGTTGATTGCCTCAATTTATTTCCATGGCCAGTGCCGACGAGTTTCTTACCCTCCAGCACTCTCCGGTCCCTGGATCCAAGGATACACCGTCGAAGCGTGGTCCTAAGCCACTGAGTTTTCAAGATTTTCTGAAGCAGCGCCAATTCATAGAATGCATTTCCCCGGGCGACAGGGCCGCGGGGCCACACCTTTCGTTCCGGTTTCAGACTTTGAAGATAAACAGCCGCATCCAAGTATTTGAATCCAATAGCATCAAATAACATCAAATATCAGACTCTCTCTCTACGACCAACTGTGTAAATTCAGTACACAGATCAAGGATTCCAGGAAAATCACAGAATCCTTAGTAAAAGAGTAAAAGCATTGAAGATTCAAATCTATGTGACACCAGTTTTCTTCTCGTGTTGGATGTGGCTGTTCAGCACAGCGCACAGCAACACCTGCTTGCTGCGCTACAATGTTTTTGCCATGCGGCATTTTGGGGAGGGTGCTGCCAAGAAGTGCGCGCCTCAGTTGGGTCAAGATGGGTGTGCCTGAAAATGGGTTGTATGCTCCAAATGGTCATTTTAACGAGAAAAATAATGATAAACCAATATAAACCATGGGATTTTGGTGGTTGTCCCCTGAATTGACGCAGAACAATCTGGACGGATCGCGAATTTTGCAAACCCAAATCTAGTGATTTGGGTGCCTCATCTATCGATGTCTATAAGTCCAGAAACCAGTTCACCGTTGGGATCTGAGATGTTTGGAAGCATTTGCACCGTTGGGATCTGGGTGTCCGACGGTGTCCGAGGTCTTGTGACGCAGCCTCTTTTTTCGCGGGCGGTACGCAGAGCTGCGATTGGCGCTGGCCAGCTGCACCTCAAAGAGAGGTGTGGCATGAAAGCTGTCAGATGATCGGAGGATTCTGCGAGGGGCTTCCGTGCCGGTGGTGGACCTGAATAAAACATAGGAAAACTGGAGTGAGTTTGAACACTCCATGGATTGGTGCGCTGTTTGGGGATGGGTTGACCTTTAAGGCACAGAAGACCGTTTCTATGGTTAGATTCGTTACCAAAGAAAAAACAGGAAAAAAGTGGCCGTGGCTGCCAGGGAAAGCACGGGTTGTGTATTGTGCCATGAACTGGGAAGTTTCATGATCAGCACTGCAGAATAGAAGGCCTATTATTAAGCCTTGCAAGGCGCCGCGAGGTTGTTGCATTTTATGAAATACTGAGTACTGTTGGATTAGTGTTGTGGAAGCCTGTATGTCACAATCCATGACAAATTGAGTGTTTCATGTCTCAACCAACACGGACCTTACTTTAGATGGTGTAACAGCAATTAGCCAGCTGCGAGGCTAACTCAGAATCCAGGGCGGGTCTGCCACATTCAGGGGTGATCATTGATCATCGATACGAAACCACTGCATTGACATGATCAAAACATATCAAAAAACACTTCTTCAAAGGCAGGATTCTTCTACTCGAGCTGTTCCAAAAAGGTCCGGGATGGCTTGTGATTTTCAGGCCATGAGGGACGTTGCCGCAGGGGTCCCCGGGGTCCCCATGCGATGTCGCTGACTGAAGCTCCAAAGGTCGACAGATCTTGGCGCGCATCACTTCAGATTTTGGACGAGGCGCTATCCATCAGGTGGCTTCCCGAGTCGACCGCACTGCGAAGTCTATGGAAAAGTTCTATGAAGCGAGGACGATGGCAGCTGGCTCTACAGATACTTGGGAAGTTCCTGGGGCACGGTGTGGTACCAGACTTGATCAGTTTCAGTGCCAGCATCAGTGCCTGTGCAGCAGCTGCAGTATGGTCTGTGGCACTTCATGTGTTGTCGGAGATGGTTGCGGCCAACGTGTGCCCTGATACGATTGCATACAATGCGGTCCTGAGTGCGTGCCACAAAGCTGGGCAATGGCAACTGGCGCTTCAGATTTTGATAGACATGGCTGTCTCTCGGGTTGCTCACAGTGTAGTCACATACAGCACCATCATCAGTGCATGTGAGCAAGGTGGAGCATGGCAAACAGCTCTGAGTATCTTGTCAAGGCGCATGCGGATGGCCCAGATTTTACCCAATACCATTAGCTTCAATGCAGCCATCAGCGCCTGTCAGAAGGGGCGATCATGGCAGATGGTTCTGGAGTTCCCTTCCAATATGCAGGAGTTTCGGGCAGATTTGGATACCATCACCTACAATGCGACCTTGAGTGCCTGTGAAGGGCAACGGTGGAATCTGGCGCTAGGCTTATTTTGGCGTATGAGCCTCGGTAACAGCCCAAATCTAGTGAGCTTTAACGCTGCCATCAGCTCATGTCAGCAGGCGGGGAAGTGGCAGGTGGCTCTTCTTCTGCTGACAATTATGCCAGCGGCCGAGATTTCTCCGGACATCATCAGTTACAATTCGACCATCAGTTCTTGTGTCAGTGGCTTGGGATGGGAAGTGGCACTTTACTTGATGGAAGAGATGTCTGTTGGTCTCATTTTGCCCGATGTCATCACCTACAACGCGGCCATCAGCTGCTGTGACTTTGGTGGATACTGGCAGATTGCCATGGAACTGATGAAGGACATGGATCGCTTGCGTCATGTCCCGGATGTGGTGACGGTCAGTGCTGCCATCAGCGTTTGCGCCAAGGGCGGTGAATGGCAGCCAGCGTTGCATCTTTTGTCGACCATGTGCAAGAAAATTATTGCCTTGAATGTGATCGCCTTCAATGCAGCCATTACGGCCTGTGAGAAGGGAGTACAATGGCAACTCGCTCTGGGCCTGCTGTCGGACGTGGAGCTCTTTCGGATTTCGCCCGATGTCATCAGTTTCAATGCGGCAATTTCAGCCTGTGAGAAGTGCTGGCAGTGGCAACGAGCCTTAGACATCCTATCGTCCATGTTCAACTTGAGGATTTCGCCACATGAAGTGACATATGGTGCGGCTGTAAGTGCCTGTGAAAAAGGCCGGCAGTGGCAGAAGGCGCTGCAATTGCTGGCCGAGATGCCTTTGAGGGAAGCTACGCCCAACGAAGTGACCTACGGGGCTACCATTTCCGCCTGCGGACGGGGGGAACAGTGGCAGAGGGCCATACAGTTGTTGAGCGAAATGTTTCGCTTTGCTGCACCAAATGCCATTATTTTCAATGCCGCCATCAGTTCTTGCGAGAAAGCAGGGCAATGGCAGTTGGCTGTGCAGTTGCTCTCCACCATGTCGGAAGTCAGGACCAAGGGGGCAGCTATTGTTTTCCATCCATTGCTGTCCTGGGCAGAGATATACTCAGGCCAATGTGGGATATACAACGCCTTCTGTCTCCATTTTAAACGAGAACTGGCGCAGTACAGGGTTACAGAGTTACCTGATCCCAACCCTCAAGACTTTCAACCAACAGAGGTATATGGGGATGGGCCCAAGACATTCAAACACCTTTTCGGGGATGAACATCCAAACAGCCGCAATTTTGGGGTGAACAGCAGGCCCCCCCAAAGGTTTTGAACCATCGCCCTAGTATCTCACTCTTACTCCATGGACACCAGCAGCTAATGAAGTCATCCTTTGACAGGATTTCTCCTGATGACTTCAGCTTCAGTGCAGCCATTGGTGCTTGCAAGCGAGGTGAGCAGCTTTGAGCTGGGTCAAATAGATCAGTTTCACAGAAAACTGGTAGCAGTTTCTATTTTCTTGGCAAAATTTTTGGAAATGGGTGCCATGAGGCTACCATCGATTCTTGGGCACTGGGTTATGTGACCTGGTGACTCGCTATTCATGGCAATTTTTGATGTCCTGGATGCGTGGAAAAAAGGCTTGCTGCAGCATGCTGCATACCTGGAATACTTGGTGCTTCAGTGTCCGTTGGAGGTTTGTGAAAGGAAACTGTTTGATTAAATTGGCCTCAGCATTTTCACAGCAGGGTCTCTAGCCAAAGACAATCTAGCTCGGCCATCTGAAAAAACGATGCGTGAAAAGAGCAGTTGGACACAAGACCTGCTCAGATGGAACAGGTGTTGTCAACTTTAGCCAGGGATGCAGTCCGTTTTGGATTTGGTAAATTTGGTAAGTTCCAAGAAGAAGGTCCCCCAGCATTGACACTTTTTCCAAAGATTCTCTCCTATGTGTGGTGATGGCATTGCCGAGCTCGCCGTTGCCGAGCCCGGTATGCTTCGTCACATGGCATCAAACAGACGAGCTGATGGATTTTGTGAATAGCAACGAGCCACCATCTAAGATAGAACATGCTACGCTGCTACATTTATCACATCTATCACTATTGTTCCGCAAGAGGAGTTTACTTTTTCTATGTTCTTGGATTCTTGGGGGTTTTTCAAATGACATACTGTATTTGAGAATATTTTGCAGGTGAAACTTGGCATTGCGCGTTTTTGGTGACAGCTCTGAGGACATTTTGGATTTTCACAAATTAGATTGGTCTGCCCCTCAGACATTGGATCCTGCAGCTTGAAACAGAGATAAACATGGACAAACACAGCATTTGTGGATCATTTCCTGGGAAAATCATGGATTTTCCATGGATTTTCCATATGTTTGGTGATTTCAGGGCATTCCCCAAGGCATTGATTGTATCTTCTTGTTGCACCAGGTTTACCGCGTCCAAGCATCTGGGAACCCTTCTGGCGCAGAAGGGTTTTTGTTTTATCAAAGGGTCACTAAAGCAGGCGGGTCTCGGTGATTCTTGGTCCAATGGAATGCCCAGCTGGCGATGCCCCAGGGCGCTTTGATCATGGCCAGGAAGAGAAAGATTTGATTAACAAAGAGGCACAGATCCGAATCCCTGACGGCTCCGAAAACGAGGGATACCAGGGATAGCACTGACAATTTAAATGGGGAAAACCATGGGAAAACCCATGGAAAACTCCATGATTTCACCAGCGGCCCCATTTCAAGACACACCCTGATGTGTATAGTATATAGGGCTGTACAGGGGGTTGTGCCAGATGTTTTTCTATGGGTATGATTTTGACGATCATCCAATATGGAGCCAGATTTGATTCAGTTTAAAGGCCATGTCCATGTCTTGTGCGGAAAAAGGCGATCTATTGAAGCTGATGGTTTGGCAGTGTATTCCGCTGGAGCTTTCGGTTCTTGGAGTGTCTGACGAAACAATAGAAACCTCTGGAAGGCTGCAGTCGAAGCATCATTTCTTCATTTCCTGTGATGAAAAGAAAAATCCGGTGGTTAGGAGGGAGCGATCCGGAGCTACGGGTATTCATATTCCGCATGAGCTATGGGGAGCTACCAAGAGGTTTTGTTGGGATTAGAAACGTGGCAACGCCTCTGTGACCTGAACTTCGCCATGGTGTGGTTGATGAGGTTTGGGAAGCAATGGGATAGCGCGCGGGCGAGGGCAGTAGATTGCACAGCTAAGAAACTCAAACATCACAGAAACAGCATTCGGGAACCACTACAGTCCTTGTATGAAGAGGGAACGAGTTTGGCAATTCACTCGCCCGGAATTTGAGTCAGAACGAGTTGGAGAAGTCCAATGCTTCAAGCTGCAAGCTGTAGAAATGAAGCGGAATTCAGCGGGGGAACTCCAAATGAAGAGAATTAATTTGATGAACGGTGGCTGGGACAACAAATCCTAACCATCATTAATTACCTTTATTTGTCATATTGCAGACTTTCGCACAACAGGTTTTGATGATTTTACCTGGGGCACCCTGGCAAAGTCCAACAATGCTCTTGGACCCAACTGTTCACCCCGTCACACACGGAAGGATCAACGGAGAATCTACGCCACTGCCCCAAGGCGAGATCCGGAATGGATGGCTTGAGTGTTGAATGCGCTTCCAGCGAGGGTTTGTAAAGAAAATGCAACACTTCTCATGTTCTGGACAAAGAGTTGGAGTGGGAGGCAGCTTTGTGATTGGGCGAGCTGCATCTTGCAACATGGCCTGCTCCGACCCTGCAGTGAGTAGCAGGGGACCCAATCACAGACCACCGGTCATTCGAATCGTCAGATTCAGTGGCATCCCGAGGCACTCACTGCATCTTGTTTTGTGATGGGTGCAGGTCTCAGTGATAGAATGGGATTCTGAAAGAATTTTCTGTGGGTCACAGAGCATAGATGTGCATATATTATGTGCATAGATGTAGCCAAGCTTCCAGGTGCATTTGTCAGACCTCCCCTCTCAGTCTGAAACCCTTCTTGAAATCTGTGGGTCAGCAATTCTTTTGGAAGCCCAGGTCTTTGTTGTATCATCTTTTGGGTTGTAATTATATAGATTGATGCAGTTGCCCCAGTTCCGTTTCTTGTGAAAAGGCCAAATCTGACGGTGGAAGACCGCAGCACGCTTGGCACCTAGCTGTCCCAGTTTTTTTTGAAGCCTCATGCCATTGCACTTCGGGTCCTAGGAACGGCACCTATATGAATGGTTTCCGTTTGCCAAGACGCCTCAGACTTAGCTGGTGGTACCACAGGTCTGGGACCCTGATCCAGTGGTTGTTTCGCAAAGCCGTCACCAAGGCCAAAGCAGAAAAGTCGTTTCCGGCGACAAGCTCGCATTGGTCAAAGGCAGTAAACCGAATTGTCGGAACCATTTTACAGTGTTGAGAAGGCATGGAGATTTTATGGGTATGGGCCGGTATGGGCTCAAATGTATGATCTCACCCAGAATAGGAGGGTTTAATGGGAATAACTGGAATAACGACCAAATTTGTAGGTCTTTTTTCGAGCCAAACCCTGGTGAGGATGGCCGGACAGGAAACCAGTTTGACAGGCGCAGCTGAGTACCTTCTGGAATTTGCAGATGAGACCAGCGAGGCCTTTGTCGAAATATGAATTCACCAATAACTATAAAGGAGTTGCACATCTTGACTGATGATTGATGTTGCATTCAGTGGTCAGTCACAGTGCCAACCAGTCTTGCTTGTACCGGGGTTGCTAGATTTTGTGAATCGCAACATGCATCTTCTTTACTTCAATTAATCTATTCACAGAATTTCATTGAGTGAGAGCTTTAGAGAATCCGCCGAACAGGTTTTACGATCTGGTACTTCAACAGTTTGCTATGGGAAATACATTGAGGTAAATCCATGTAAATCCCCTATAAATGGGCCATTTTCCATCATTTTCCATCCGTAGCAAACCCTTTAAATTAGTGAAGGGTATCCATTAAATGCTGGCAGCTCCTCCAGGTCCCAGGAAAGCTACGAAAGCTGAGCATCCTTGGAGATGGCGAAGGGTTGAAGGTGTCGGCAAGTCAGGCCTGCGGCTGGTGGACAGGAGCAAGTGGGGAAACCGAAATTGACTCGAAAATGGGATGGTTTCATGATCAATCTGTGAATCCCATAGCTTTCAATTCCGAACCAGAGCCGATTATAGCCGACTATTCGTCCACAGGTCCCCGATTTGCCAATGGGTCTTGAGGTACTTGCTGCCACACTGCGTCGATCGCAAGATGTGTCGGCTTCTCAGTAAACAAGTCAAGAAACCAAGGACCTTTTCCACATTCTGATCTTCCCACATTCTTCACAAATGTAGCAAAGGCAGTCAGGTGTGATTCCATTGATCCTGGCAAAAACAGATTTAGATTTGGCATGTGAGGTCTCTTACCTATCGAGACACAGAGCTTGACAGTGACGTCAAAGATATTCCCATGAAGGATGCAGACACTCCAAGCGAAGTCACTCGTATTGAGGGAGATGTGCTCCAAGCTGACTCGAGGCCGTCAAGGACAAGTCCTCCCGCTCCAGCGCGGGAGTCCCACTGCCGATCACCGTCCAAGCTGTGGCAGTGCGACACGCCGTTGGACCTCGATGCCGACGCGGCGTCGTTGCCCGGCTCCTACCTGGGGGAGGCTGGCACGCCGGAGCCGCGGGGACGCAAGCGGCACTTGGAGCGGGCCCCGTCGCAGCCAGGGCACCTCTCAGGGCCGGCCTTGTTGCAGTGGTTGAAGAGGAGGCGTTGCGACCGCCAGGGGGATGGCCTTCAAGATGTGGAGATGAAATTTTCTTCCAGATCTGCAGGTGATAGACGGAAAGCAGAGCAACATTTGAAGCAGCAAGTGCACTTCTTCAAGGACTTTAAAGTGGAATTGGATGAAATCACTTTGCTGTCACCTCCTGAGATGATTACTTCCCTCCGATGTGCCAGTCGAAAAAAGCAAAAGTCTTGCATGGTGGCGCAAAGCTCTGAAGGCTTTGTGACGCTCCTCTCCTCAACGCGCCTGGTTTCAACTCCTGCTGTAGCTGCTCAAGCCACCGACCAATGGGATGCCATCCACAAAAGTGTTGTGACTGAAGCTGCCAAGGCCTTCACACGCTCCAAGGTCATGTGCTCAAAAGTCGCCAACATCTCATTTCCCTGGAAGACTCATGAGATGTTGCAAGAGGCATGGGACTCGGAATGTGCTCTTCAAATGCTACAGGATCGCTGTGATCTCGAAGCCGGACGTCGTGTGTTGATGCGCTGTGGCGGTGCTCATCCCAAGGCTGGTCTCTTCGAGGATGCACCGCAGGGCTCCAGTGAGGCCGCAGCTGCCGCAGCTGCCGTGCTGCAAGGCTGTCTACCGGCACTGGCCACTGGCAATGAGTTTCGGGCTGCCACCTTTCTGAACACTTCGGGCTTGTCCCAAGCGTTGCGCGTGGCGCGGCCTGGACTGTTGGGTACTTGGCATCCCATCCAAGTCTCGAGAGTTGGTGGATTTAGGGATGTTTTGCACTGCTTGTGGTCAGCTCGCGACATCGGCTTGGGCGTTTCTGGTCGTTTCGTTGGGCGAATGACCCAAGCAGCGTTGACCCATCGAGCGTTTGGAGTGGCTGGCGGACAGGAACACTGCCAGTGCAGTTGTGGGCAATGGCTGACCAAAGCCAAGTTAAAGGGGCGCAGTTGTGATAAAGATGTGGGTAAGCCACATGAAAAGCACGATGCGTCAAGCAACCTTAAGCTTTTTTGGCAGTCGCGAGGGGTGCTGGCTTTCCGTGTCTCCTTCAAGCACCATTCGAATCCACTCGCGGTGGATCTGACATTAGAGGCAGCGCTGGAGTCGGCGACGAAGTCCATCCTGTGGTCAGATTTCTGGGAAGCTGCACATGTTTCCTGCAGCTGGCGCCTGTCTGGTGAATTGACCCCGCGCCACCCGTCAGAAATGACCCTGAAACCGCCATGTTGCGAAGCAGTACCAGCACCTCCTTCTTCGCATTCACTGACTCCGCAACAGTTGCTTTTACTGGGATGGATGCGCGCACAAGAAACTCGAGAGGGATATTCTTCACGCCAAGTCATCCGAGAAGATCTGTGTGAGGCTGGGGTCTTTAAATCTGTTCAACATGACCCAGAGAGTTTGAAAGGATGCTACCCTTGACAATATGTAGGGAAGGGGGAAGGGAGAAAAGATGAGAAAAGCACATTGAGTTTTTTGTTGTTTCTCGAAAGTTTTTCAAGAGTTGCCTTGGAAACTTTGCAGACCGACCTCTACTTGGAGTTGCTGGTGGAGCGCGACTTTCGTGAGAAGGGTGGCCTGATCTTCAGCCATGCCCAAGCAGCAGGTAGGGTCAGGTAGAGTCAATGGCAAACAGGTCCAACATCAAGGTGTGGGGGCTGTGATGCCCCCCCACAATTCATAAATGGGGTTGAAGATCCCCAAACTTATGGCTATTTTTCAGTTGGTTATAGTATGTTATAGTAATAGATAGTAAGATGTAATAGTATGTTATATATATAATATATAATATAATATAATATATATATATATGTATAGTGATGTACTAAAAAAGGGGTTGTAGACTCATAAATCCCAACTACGTTTGAAAAAGGGGACAATAATCGCAGATGCCTCGGTTTTCAAATGACTCCCCCAGATGTTTGCGCAGCAGGTAGCTCAATTGCCCACGTGGCCCCTCTGCTCGCATTGCTTCAGCGTGAGATTCCAGCAGCACCATCGCACCGAAGAAGAGGCAAGGAGCTGCGAGTTGACGCCAAGGAGTTTCATGAACATCTGTCGAAATCCCTGGTGACTAAGAGTTATGTGATAGATCCATATAGATTATATATAGTAAGATTGTAGGTTTACAGTGGTTCGATGACTATGAACTAATCTATGGGAACCCCCATCCTCACCTCCGAGGTCGTTGTCTCCTGGAGGCACCTGGAACCTTGGTGCTGGCGCAGGGCCATTCGCTCCCTTGCTGGAAGGCAGCGCTGGAGCAGTCCGGCGTGAAGGTCCTGTGCATCCAGAACCAGAAGAGGATGAGGCGAGGCTTTCAGCTGTCTGGGAAATACTGTAGAACACTTCACTCCTTTGATTTATGCATTGAGATTGAGGGAAACCATCCTGAGATCCCCAGATTGATTGTGGCTTGGTTTTTTCATGCTCTGACTCCTACCACAAGACATTGGAAGGAGAACAATAGCGCTAACTGGCTCCTACTGTATTTGATGTGACAGCAGTTCCTTACATGCTACGCGCAGTAGTCGCATGTTATCCTGTTTTATCCTACAACTCTCGGTGGGGATCCTCCGGCCCCTTCCCAACCAGACCATGACAGCCACGCTCACCAACTTGGATGCCCTAGGAGCCTCGCAGTTGCGGACATCCTTGCAGCTGATTTCATTTTGGCATCCCTGCAACTCTTTAGCACAGAAGGCCACCTGCTGTGCCAACTGCTGTGCAACTCCGAATTCCGACTTACCCCCAAAAATTTCAACAAAACTTGGAGCAGTTCAGACCAGTCTTGCATCGTGTGAGGCTACCAACGCCATTTCGATGCCTTGGCAAAGCCTGGCTTGGAGCTTTGGTGTGCCCCAGCAGATCCTGACCTGGAAACCACTGATCCCCAGCCATCTGTGGAACCTCCCAGCTCAACAACTCCCCTGAGCTGCGGTGATGTGGTGCAGCTCCATGGCTTGGAGAGACAGGCAGAGCTCAACGGCCGCAGGGGCCGGCTGTTGGAGTGGCAAAGCTCCAGTGGTCGTTGGTCCTGTTTGCTGCAGCCGGAGAAGGGCAAGAGAAGGGAGGTGAAGCAGGTTCTGGTGAATGTGAGGCCCTGTAACGTCAAAGCGGTTCAACGAGGCATGGGGGGAAGTGGCAACCCGTCGATCGCAGGAAAGCTAGTTGTGGTGGTCGATGGATGCAAAAAAAAATAACAAAAAACAATCACTAGGTGGACATAAAAAGGCACACAACTTTAGACCGTCGATTTGGAATGGTGGCTGGCCATTCAGATCTACTGAATCTACTGTCCATGGGGACCACTGTGAATGGATTGTGGCTGTGCTTCCAGATGAACCCCCATTCGCGACAGGAGAAGGAAAACGAAGTGCTTTCAGCCAGAAGAAACCCCGCCCAGCTGGGGAGTCTCAAGCCAAGGCTCGTTACGCAACACACCGGATGGCTTGGGACTGAAAGGTGTGAAAGTTGGGGGCAGTCATTGGACCTCCAAACATTTTGGGGCATGCTGCATCTACAGAAGCTGACGATGGCGTTGGGTGTCAAATACTTCAGCCATTGAACTTGGTGTTTTGAGGCATCAAAATACTACGCGGAGTTGCGTGCACGAGACGACTACATGGCCAGACGTCAGGCCTGTCATATTCTGGGATCAACAGGAAGTGCAGATGGGTTCAAATAGCTTACATGTGCCACCTGGATCCACCTGGGGGATGAGAAAAAAACCTCTGCACCAGTTGAAATTGGTTGGTCAAGAGTCAACATCTGCGTATATTTTTTGGGTATCGGCATGGGACAAGTAGAGATTTCTCGAATTTGGGGGTGAACTTCCCCAGCATTTTCCCCGCTTTTTGATGGCAACGACTTGGCACATTTCTAGCCATGGGGCACCAGGGCACCAGGGACTTGGCGAGGTTGACTTGGAACGCCAGATTCTTCGACTCTTGGAGCAGGTGCAGTCATCAGTGATAGCCACTTTGAACGGTGAATAAAGGAGGGTTTAAGGGTTTTGGAACCTCACTGGTTAGGGGAAAATATTTATATCCCACCATTATCCACAATCAACCGGATATCCAGTATTCATGGATAAACTGATCTTGATGTTTGATGATTTTTGGTGACATGGCTCATGTGAAGGGACAAGAACAGAGATGGCTATATAATGGTTGTAGAATGCTATAGATGGCAAATCATCAACCCTCAGAACCACACTATGTGTATGAGTGAGCAGAAACGGTTCATGTGAAGAGGTTCTCCAGGTAATTTCATGTTCCAAGCAGTTGGGGGTGCAGTTCCATGTACAAATGGATATATAGTAATCATAGCAATAGGGGTGATATGTATATGTATTATTACCACATGTATAACATAATCTATATCTATCCCAGCTTGTGGAGTTTGTCACCATGGTTCTACCCATTGAAGCTAACCCCCAACTGCACTCCCAAATAGTTGGGGTCAGCAACGGCCCAAGGCGGCAACAGAAACTTCCGGAGGGAGGGCAATCGACTTGGCCAACAGTTCGCAGCCCAGTGGTGCGGCTGAACAGATACAAGGTGTCTGAATATGGATTGTATACCGTATACCTCCCAATTTTGTGGTCATTTTCATAGGGAACATGAGAAACTGGCTGTGGAAGTTTGGGGGTAGCCTGTTTTTCAGACAGGTATCCGTAGGTTTAAACATGTCATTTTTTCGATTGTCCTTTGGGAGGCTCAGCGTGAGGTCTGGAGATTGGAGAAGTCAGGGGCACTGCTCCCGAGGTGGTGCGGTTCTGGAGATGTTTCGCTTCAACCGCTTGGTCTTGGATGACTGCCACGATATGGTCAGGCAGGGACCTCCTCACTTTAGGTCCGCAGATCCCTCTGGAAATTTCAGGCAATGGAAAAAAATGACCAGGTTTGAAGAAATTCAAGAAAACCATCTATGAATTATGATCCATTATGTTCATTGATTTTCCAAGCTTTGCAATGATGTATGATATAGGGCAGGTACTCCTAAAGATCCAGTGGTTTATCATCAATTTCCCCGGTTTTCCCCATTAAGGTTAACATGGCCAGGGACCTGGAACAGCTTCTCGCTGCCGGTTCTGCCTTCACGAATTTGTCGCACTACTTGGCCAAGGTGCCCTGGGGTTTATTTTTGAACCATCCCTGCTCGCAATAAGTGGGTTATAACCCTAGTTATGAATCAGGTAAGTAGGGTAAGTCTACAACAAAAAACTAGGATGAACTGAGCTACTTATGATTCCTGGGGTGTACGAAGTAAATTGGGGCTTTTCATGGCGGGCTTGACCGTTCCATTGGGGCTTTTCATGGCGGGCTTGACCGTTCCATCTTGACCAAGACGGGGAGGCCTCAAAGTGAGATCGATGCTCCACCTCCTTCCGAAAGGTGTCGCCTCTTTACGCAGTTCATGCCATCACAGCCAACTCGCGGTGGTGCCTTTCAGATTCGGAGTGACTTGGAGCAGAAACTGTTGACCCATTCCTCAGTTGGATGACAAACTCTAACTAAGACATCCATGAATCCATGAATCTTCAGTTAATTCATCCTGAATATCCTGAGTGTTACCCATTATGATTCCCATTAGTTCATAACCCATCAGGGATGGATGACAATAACATACCATAACCCATAGCAGTTCCAAGGTGTCTGAAAAAAGCTGGGCATCATGTGGTGGCGCCGTCCCGAGCTCAGAGGCCCCGAAGTGAGGCTAGCAGAGGATTGATGAATGGCTTGTTTTGATATAATGTTGATATAATAGGGATGTATATATATACTATATATATACATACATACATTTACACACTATATATATATACACTATATATATACACACTATATATATATACACTATATATATATACAATATATATATACACTATATATATATACACACTCTATATATACACACTCTATATATACACACTCTATATATACACACTCTATATATACACTCTATATATATACATATACACACACTATATATATATATATACACATACACTATATATATATATACACATACACTATATATATATACACATACACTATATATATATATATACACATTCATGATATGTAATATAGCCTATATGACCATAGCTTCATGGAATTATCCGTTGATGGATACATGAGCAAGTTGAGACTCAGCTCGGCTTCATCAGCTACCGGCCATCAATGGCCGTTAGCCACGGGAGTTGCAGAAATGGAGGATCCGATGATCCCAGTTCCGAGGTTTGCCTCTCTACTTGGGATCCAAGTTGCATGGGATGCTTCTGAGGCGAACTTCTCGACATCTGCTATTTATCAGCGATTTCTGGGACATTTGAGTTGAAAGCAAAAAACATCAACAAAAGAACAACAAGTGAAAGTCCCCTGCGATCTCTGTGATGTCTAGCTCCACATTGACATCCTGGGTTGCTCTGCTTGATATTCTCCGTCCTCGTGGCTGGAAAATTCCCCATAATCCACCAGGCCCAACGGTTCCTGGATTCCTGGGCAGTTGCTGTGGAGGACCCTGGAGGTTAAAATGGGCTGTAACCTTGGTGAATGGTTGGTTGAAGGCTGCATTTTCAGCCTGTGGATGAATATCATTGGCACTTTCACACCCAGACCAAGGAACCAAAGACATCTCAGATAGTGATATTTTTTTGCAGGGTCACCGAGGCATTGAAAGGATCTGTGTTGTTGTCACTCCTTCTTTGGCCGCTTGCAGCTTGCTGAGATTTCAAAAGCCGCTGCGCATTCTCCAGAGACTGTTTTGGTTCAAAAGGGCCTTGCTGCCCACCCATTTTTTGGTGGGGTTCAGGGAGCCACTCTGAGTAGCCGGAATGTTTGGGACCTCAGGATTTAAGGTGTCCAAAATGGCGCATGTAGTCTATTACTACAGACAAATTTGGTGGAAAGAAGCTGGATGCAAGCAAGAACGTCATTTGTCCAAAAATCAAGCCGCTTTTGAACTTGGGTAAAGGATGATAAAGGGAGTATTGTTTTATCAGATCGTATCATCTGGCTGCCAATGACTTCACCAGGTTCGGTGGCCTATCTCGCTGCCTCGGGCAGGGCGTGTTGGGCACTCGGTTGGTTCCCGATGCCTGGAATGTGATTTGGATAGAGAGCTTTGGATGCGGAAAGACATGGACAAATGATCCATCAACTTCCAGTTTTTTGTTACTGTTTTCAGGGTGATTGAACTTCTTGGATTTCAGCCAGTACTATTTCTTGACTCACAATGTTTTGGTCCAGGCGCCGCACTGCCGGCTCATTTGCAAGACAGGCAAAGGGGTTTTAGAAGGTTGGTTTGGGTGGGAAGTGAATCCAGTGGTGTTGAAGCTGGCCGAGTTTCCGAGAGAAAGCGGATCTCTTTTTTGGTGCATCCACCAGACAATGCCTGCAAAGGGCTACACTACATAGATGTAAGATGTAAGACATCTTGCAGCCACAGCCGAGATAATTTTTGGGTCAGCAGTGGGAGGCCGTGTCTTTGCTCAGAAACTCCCTCTGCGTTTTGCGGAGGCGCTGCGGACGCCTGTGGCTTTCGAAGCAATGCCCAAGACCTTCAATGCTCCGATGATGAGGCCGTTGGTGTCGCTCGTGCCGGGGCATTTCTGGGTCGAACCCCGGTTGTGCCCTTTTTAGATGCCATCCCCTCCATTGATTTTGTTTTTACGTACAGAAAAAAACTTGCTGAGCTGCTGAACTCGAAAAGCTGTGATCAGGCCCTTCAGTGTGCTGGGCACCAACTACATGCGATTTATCAATCAACAGCCGGGGATGCCCGGACTCTGGATCGCCGCCCCTGAACGGCTCCAATTCCCAACGGCTGGCTTGGTGGAAACGTGGGACGTTGGATGACAAATTCTTCGTTTATTGCTGTAATTTCAAGTCAGGTTGAGTTCAAGTGCAACACTGCAACCTCACTATTTGGAAACATCATTGCATCGTTCGGAAACAACACCTAAATTGCAGCCGCATTTTTTCCCATTTGGAAAGTCACTGCATCGGCTCTGAGGACTCCCAGTGTGCCGAAGCCAGTCGTTGAACCACTCAAGGCGGCTGCCATCAATCCGGATAGGAGGGAGCCGTTTGGAGCTGGGGTTGTATTTGTCCTCTTACCATCCGTTGTCCTCAAACGTGGCTGGGAAATTCCCTAAAAATGATAAAAAATGAATATTTATAGCGGGGAAGATCATCGAACTAAATGGGGAATTCAGCAGGATTGGTCCGAACGTCCATAATGGGGAATTCTCCAGCAAGCCATGTTTGATTACCGGAGGGTAAGAGGAGAGCTAAGGAGCTACCAAGAGTTTCGCAACCACATGATAGACATCATCTCCCAACCTGGAAAAAAGTGTTCCATCCCCATTTCAATAGCTTTTTTAGGAGTGGGAATGTGTAATGTGTCCGTAAGCTTTCCACCAGCGCCAGGCAATTCAGGAAGCCAATGTGGTAGCGAAGGATACAGGACTGTTGTGAGCACGGTGGGAGCAAGGGCATTGGCTTAAAGTGTTTCACACCCCAAGGTTGGATGGGATTTGTGGTGTGCCCTTTGATCATACGGATCTCTGAGAGGGGTTTCATCGAAAGCGACGAGGATCACATATTGCACTGCAGGAGTGGCAGGAGTGGTAGATACCTGCAAGAGGGACTCCATGGTTTTTGAGGACGGGGCTGCTGTAGAACCAACGGACAGCTGAATTTTTTTCTGTTTGGAGTAGCAAAGACCAGTAGAACTCCACAGTATAGGCATAGGCATGGGTCAAGATTCAGGACCCAGGAACCATCTTCTCGGTCTTCACACCCAGTTTTGGGAAACTCAGTTTCTGACCCCATATTTTGACACGGCAAAAAGTGGGTTTGCCCATGTTTGCATTGGGACTAAGATTAGATGGTCGATCATCATTTTCCCCATACAACTGGCCATATATTGGGGTTGGATCATGTTCGATCCAGATTTTTTTTGAGAATCCTTGGAATCTTTACTGACGCTTCCGCGCAGATCGGCATCTCCTTCGTGGTTCTCCATTACCAGTCGATCTTCATCGGTGTGATGCGTTGCCTTTTCCAGGCGCGCTTCCGAGCCAATCCCATGTTGGTACTGGGTTAGGTCAAGAATTGTTGGATGCATAAAACGGATGGTTTAATGCTGATCATCAACTTGATGGGTCCATACCCCAAAAACTTGACTTGTAGAACATACTGTAAATATTGGTGTTTCCTGACCCAGTTTAAGCTGATGATTTTGGGTGATGTCAAGGATCTCTGGCAAGTTAGGAGTACTTGGAGTATTCCTGGCCTGGATCATGTCGAGCTGTGAGGCTTTCCGTCCGTTGCTGATTCTCTTCATCTTTGGTCAGATTATCAAGGCCATGATTGTCACGCTGGGAATTGACCCCCAATAGCAATTGCAAAGGAACACATTGTGACACATGGGAATGAAAGAAACATAACATAGGGATACAAGCATTATTTGCGGAACCAGTTTCAGGGGCATTCAACCAATAAAAGCAACAATTTTTATGGGGATAGTTTTGGGGAAGATCACAATTAATGGCAATACGTTGAGGGAAGATGATGGCGAATTTTGCATGCCCCGCTTGGACAACCGCGGGTCTTGCAGCACCGATCCAGCTGCTTCCTCCGTCCAGGGACCAACCATTCTTTACAAAGATCAAGGGATGGAGATTGAAGAGACAGATTTCCAATAAAAAAACACATTCTATACTCTCAACCCTGGATGAATCACCAACCATTCACCATTGAAGTCTCAGAAATCGCTCCCAGCTCCTACCAAGTCGCATCCGAGGCGGTCTTCTTCATTGCAGGCGCTCCAATTTGGATGTCCTTCTACTCGATTTGGCTCTTTGAGGTGACCTATGAACTGGCGCAATGTGCCATCTCCTTCATCTTCATCAGCTGCTTGGCGAACAGAGGGCAACCCAACGTTGGGGATAAATCCACGCTTGCTTTTAAGCAACACAGCCATCTGGTGCTGTAAGATAATATACTGTAATGTATATGTACAATGCATACTGTATATGTATGTATGTGTATATATATATATGTATAATGCATGTCAAATGATGTCAATAGTATGTTTGGTTTTATCCTGATTTTGTTTGGGCGAACATTTTCAGTGGCAGGTTTCTTCTACAACAACCTCTCCTTTGCGCGCATCCGCCCGGCGTTGCGACAGATGCTGCGGCAGCAGAAGGACATCACGGGGGTCAAACAAGCGAGGTTTAGGGGACTATGGGGTTTTAGTCATATTAATATTACAGTATTGTATATGTGTATCTATTTTGTCACTTGTAGATGTTGACTTGTAGATGTTGACTTGTAGATGTTGGTATTTTCGTTCTATGGCAAGCTGTTGATCTTTGGATATTTTGGTCTCTCATGAATGGTAAACTGTGTGGTGCCCTGAAAAGGCTTGCGCTAGCCACCAGAGCCTTGCGGTTGATTTGCATGAAAGATTGCATGGCTGGTCGGTTTACTTTTACTTTCTTCATATTCATATACTCAGTCAGCCACTTTGTGTGCGAATGTATGCACTCAAGTTTGATCCAACGCTATTACGGGGAGTGGCTGGAAAGAGGTTGGTGTCTATGCTGCCGATACCCAGGATATCCACCTTGGTCGGTAGAGGAACCACCTTACACCTGTTGGGATGAAGAGAAGTGAGTCTTCATACATGTAAAACTTGTTGTATTTGCTGAACTTGCTGGTCCTCTCTGTAACCACTTTGAAGTACTCATCTACAATGATATTGGTATGATATATTTGCTGTACAAGTTGTGCTCATTTCAGCATTTGACTATGCAATTAGGCAATTTCTATGGCAACCGCCCCAAATATGGCCTGCCCGTTTCCAGGACAAGCTGGCCCAAGCAGCACGAGCTCTGCTTTAGATCAAGGCAAGGTACAGGTCAAGTGGTTGGTTGACTGGCTTGGGGGTACAGTTCCAGGGCTTCTCATCCGAACTTATGGGGGTAGCCATGGTTCTTTCCCAAGTAGGCTTTAGTTCTCTAGTACAAACACAAACAAATGTTCAAGAACGGAGTCCTCTCGCAGTGATTGGAACCATGCCGGACATACTCCTGCTGGGCTGCTTTGTGGATTGCTGCACAGATGCAGTTGCTGCGCAGGTTATCGGCAAGAAGTTCAACGGCACTCTGAGAAGCAAGCAGTTCATAGTTGATATGGAGAAGTAGCTGCGAAGAAAAAGATCACCAGAATCACCTGTCGTGCCTGTCGTGTTTTTCTTGGCGTGGCTTGCCACACTCTCTTTGTGGATTGCTGCACCATCAATCAGTGTCGGTAATCAGCCCTGGGTAGTTACCTGGTATTCTCCACCAGGATGGCCAAGCTTTGAGCTCTCTGGGACAGGCCATGGAGTCACAGTGTGTTTTTTTTTTGGGGTGAAAATTCTCTTGACTATGTGGACCTGAAATGGCCTGAATCAATACGAATCGTATGCCCAAAGATAGTACTAACAAGCACTGATATAGTCTGATATATATATATATACATATTATATATGTATATATATGTTTGATGTCTGATATACATCCATGTCAGGCTTGCAATAACAGTTGAGGCTTGGTCGTACTTCTGGAGCCGCAGCTTGCGGCTGGCAGAGCTGACATGAACAAGCATGTCCGAGCAGAGCCATGTCGAGCAGATCGGAACGTGGAAAGCCGCAGACCCGCAGCAAGCGGAAGAAAGCGAAACATGCCGAAGTACACCCAGACTCGAAAGCAAGCGATTCGATATTCTTTAGTCATACCTGGCTACCTACTCCGTCTTGGAATAGCTGGCGCTGCAAGGTTTTGATTGGTTTGGGCCTCACTGGAGTGAATGTGATCCTACTTTTTCACAATTTGGATGCTTTTGAATCTCGATCCGCGGTCTATCACCAAGCTCCACTGGCTCCACTGTTCAACGCCACCGCTCCAAAAAGTACCTCACAGGCGCCGCCTTTTGCGGCGCCCAAAGCTCCCCAGCTCCGCGGCCGCCTTCCGGTGCAACCAACGCCAGTGCCAAAGGCTCCAGATCTCGCTGCTGTCCCTGCGACTAAAGTGGAAGCGCCGTTAATAACGGTTGCACGGGAAGCACCGGAAGCCCTTCCAGATGTGACGGAGCTGATCACCTTTGCACTGGCACAGAACACGACACAGATGGTGAAGTTTCGGAGTCCCTCATGGTCCTTGTCCACTTTGACTTTGTCACCAGGTCAGCAACTACCATATGACGACAGGTACTCCGGGGTCAACTACACCTTTGGAGAATATTTGGGACATGACAACGTGGTCTTTGTGTCCCCTTGTGGCGCCAAAGAGCTTCACCAGATGGATTTCCCCTTTGGCGACTTCCTGAAGGAAAAGGCTGCCTTCATGCACATGCAATGCCTTGCTGCTGAGGTGGCTGAAAATATGCAGGCCAAAGACGTGGTGGCCTATGTGAATTTCCGCGAAAGTGGATATTATGGCCATGCCATTGACAACATCCTGCCTCGAATTTTTGCGGTGCTGCCAGGGGTGGTCCAAAGTGGCCACAAGATGATCCTGGTGCTGCCGCCACTGGGGAAGCGTTCCCTGAGTGAAAACACCAAGCTGCTCTGTGAGGCGCTTGGCATTGAAGTTCGGCTCCGTGTGCCCATCTATCCACATCGTACCATGGGTCTGAGTGGCGTTTCCTCTTGGAGCCGCGAAATGCGACAGACCTTCCAACGTGCTGTGTAGGCCTCTCCTTTGCTGACGGGAACTGAAATGGACCACAGGTGTGATCCCTGGACCATTCCTCTATGGAGACCTGATGCTGAAAGCAGGTTGCAAAGTGCCACATGTCCCTGTCGCTTTGAGCCTGGCATCTTCCTGGGTCGCCACGCCACGCGGAACTCCCGACCCGTGCAGGGCGCGGAGTATCTGGAGGCGGAGTTCCAAGCCCGGGGCTTTGAGGTGGTTACGGATGCGGCAACGGTGCCCTTGCAGCAACTGGCGCGAAAGATCTACAGATCCTGCAGTTTGGTGGGATTTTCCGGAACAGCCATGGTGAATCTCATTTTTTTACCACCACACGCGGCGGTGGCAGATTTGAATCCATATCTCATTTATGCCAACTCCTGGCTATGGGCCCATGCACTGAACTACTGCTTCTGTCAAGTGCAGCCCCCACGGAAACTGGACCAACATGAGGCTTCAAAGTGGGCTGCGTTGATCCTTGACAACCAATCCGCGGAAGCAAAAGATGCGATGGGGTGTTCAATAGCCATGAGCCGTCATGAGCCCTGAGATCCGTGGGTTTTTGAATTTCCATCCTTCAAAGTAGTTTGCCTTCAATCTTTTGGTGGAAAGGTTTCACGGGCTCGTAGTGTGCTCTTCGCTTCTGCCAACGGGTTTTCTGCCCAGTTCGTCTCATCCTCTCTTGTTCGCAGGTTTATCGTCCTGGTCCAGCCCTCAAAGTCCACTGAAAGCTGAAAGTCTTGTGCTGATTTTGTGTGTCTGAAAAATGGTATACCCACAAGACAGCAATTGAAGTCGTTTTAACACGTTTTAACAGAGACGGTGGTGATCAACCATCAGATTTTTGGGTACAGCGGAACTGTTAGGTAAGAACCGAATAAGAATTTTCCAGCCTACCCTGAGGTTCTTAAATCCGATCTGCGGACACATAGCAAAATTGTGAACGAGTACCATCAAGTTCTTAAGGGGTCAGTTCTTCATTTTCACTTAGAGGTGCAGTTTCATCGAAAAAATACACAATATTACACCGGGTAAAATTAACCTCACTCAAAAAAAAATGGGCAGAACAAACCATTTACCCACCATTTCTCATTTCCTCATTGTGTCTCCCCTGTTGTTTTCCCTGTGGCTTTTTCCTCCGTTGGCTCAGTGACCCCACCCTGCAATTCAAGTAGCCAGTAATTATGTGGGTGAATCCAGCAGCTGAAGTTCTTTAATGCAATGGGTTCTTTTCAACAATGGTTTCACTGTTCCCAGTTCCAGACGCACCCACGAGGTGTGGAGGAGGTGGTGCACCGGCTGCAGTTCTCGCGAAAGGAACGGGTGGTGTATCTCTTCCGATGGCTGGAGCGACTCGTCCGGAAATGGGTCAGTCATCGTTTTCCCCATTACCCTCTGATAAACCAACATAGCTGTAGAAAATCACCATTTTGTAGTGGGTAAATCAACTATAAAATCTATAAATGGCCATTTTCAATAGCTATGTTAAATTCCCAGAGGGTAACATGGCCATTTGGAGGTTCCATTTTTAGACAGACCCATATGAGTCCGTCAGAACTCCATTTGCTGCAGCTTGTCATCTCAGCAATCACCGAGGCGCCAATTGGATCCGGACCTGAAGAAACCACGACAACGAGCTCAACATGTGTGCTGCTTAGGTTCTGAGGATTCTGTATGGTTTAATGTGTTGACATTGACATTATATCCACATGATATCACCGTTATATCCCCATTATGGTTGGTTGTATATGCCCATGACTCCCCATATAAAAATGGAATGGTTGCAGTTTGTTGCCAATTGCAGATTCGCACACTTGCTCATCGGAGAAAACCGTGTTGCTTCCAAGGTCCGCTCATTGCTGCAATTGTGTTGTGAACCAACAGACGTGGAGGAACTTGCAAAGGACAGTCCCGGAGTTTCAGTGCATCACAGTGGTTTTTCAGTGAAGACTGTACAGCAGTAGCATCTTCTTCTCCTGAATTTCACTCCTGAGCCCTTCTGAACCCTTCTCCAAGACGGCTTTCCCGTTTGGCTTTCGCACTTGGTGGTCTAGGACGTTTTCTGTGGATCAGTCAATCTGCCAGGAGATGTGGGCTCAAAAGTGCTTAAAGGATGCAGATGTGACTCTGGCAGAAGAGGAATATACCGATTTTGAGCTCAGGCTGGATGGGCAGTCCTTTGAGACTTTTTTCTTGTGGCATGTTCAAACTCCTCCCCCTTTGATTCGCTACCTTGACCACAAGTTCAAAGTCTAACCGGTGGAAGCTTGCCATCTTTTGTTTGTCCCACATATTTTTGTCAAGGTGTCCATTCTTTTCCGCCAGGCTCCAAGTCTTCAAAAGCCTGGCCAGCCGCGCGCAGGGCCTACAGGGCCTGGAACGTGAAGTGTTGCTGGCCGTGGGCCACAGCAGCGCTCCGCAGCTCCAAACCTTGGCGGACGCCGGGGGCCGGACGCCGCTGGATGTGCAACTGAGGCGCTTGGCGCAGGAAGCGCTGGAGGGCCCTGGTAGCGTGGAGAGCTTGGGCAAACAACCTGGGCATTCCGTGAATTGCCAGGTGGGGAGATGAATTTTTTTGTGGATGTTTAGTTGATGTCAGGTTGGAGGTGTCCAACAAAATGGGGGTCATCCCAGTCATCATCCATTTTTCTTTAGGATTTTCCATTCTCAACCATCCAGCAAATAGGGGTAGCCTCTGGTAAACATACAAAAAACGATGGAAAGATCCACCATTTTTCATGGGAAAATCCACTATAAAATCACTATAAATGGCCATTTTCAATAGCTATTTTGACATCACCAGAGGGTGCCTCCATTTTACGAAAGGCCGCCTTACGGCTCCACCGTACGCCAGGCCTGCGATCGCCTCACCCGTCCGAGGGAGGTGGCTGCGTCCTTACGCCTGGCCGAGCAACGGGCGCAAAAGGCGCAGGAGAAGACGACGCGAAAATGGCGATTGCTGCAGGTCCTGCTCGAGGTTGGCAGAAATTTATGGCTGAGGGGGGGGGAAAGGACCTAGAAACGGTTGAGTAGGAAGAATTGACCAATTCAATTTAATATAGTGGTTAAGAACAGTTACGAATGGTGAATGATGCCAGTGGAGGCAGCTTGGGGTAATATTCGAGCTGTTTATTGAAGTTTGATGATCTCTATGATGACTTTTGGCGAATGACAAAAACATGTATTGATTATTTATTGGCGGTTAGTTACTACCTGGTTTATTGATGTGTATTGGGCATCATTCTTACCATTGTGGTTGAATCATATTGAATCCCTACCAACTACCTAGTACGGTACAGGATGGGAAGGCATACAGATTTGATCACTGCTCACATCAATGGATAATTTGGGGGAATTTAGTGGACGAATTGATATTTGGAGCACCAACAATAGGGATTTCCAGCATCATCAGCCATTTCACAGGGCAATTGCAGGATCAACAACCAAAAAAACGGATGGTTGTCAGTCAATGTTAATACTCAGAAACATGGAAGAAGATTACCTGCATTTGTAGCCGCCTAGATTTTAAACTGTTAAGTTTAAGTTCGCATGCTCACAGATTTGGTTCACATTTTTCAGGACACCTCCAATATTTGACTGATCAAAGGAAGTTTAGGGGGAGAAACTTCCGTGTTACGGACTTTTAGAATGTCAGGGAAAGAGTTAGTCAAAGAAAGAGTTAGTGAGGGAAAGAGTTAGTCAAAGAAAGAGTTAGTCAAAGAAAGAGTTAGCAAAGAAACAGTTAGTCAGGGAAAGAGTTAGTCAAAGAAAGAGTTAGTCAAAGAAAGAGTTAGTCAAAGAAACAGTTAGTCAGGGAAAGAGTTAGTCAAAGAAACAGTTAGTCAAAGAAAGAGTTAGTGAGGGAAAGAGTTAGCAAAGAAACAGTTAGTCAAAGAAAGAGTTAGTCAAAGAAACAGTTAGTCAGGGAAAGAGTTAGTTAAAGAAAGAGTTAGTCAAAGAAAGAGTTAGTCAAAGAAACAGTTAGTCAGGGAAAGAGTTAGTCAAAGAAAGAGTTAGTGAGGGAAAGAGTTAGCAAAGAAACAGTTAGTCAAAGAAAGAGTTAGTGAGGGAAAGAGTTAGTCAAAGAAAGAGTTAGCAAAGAAACAGTTAGTCAGGGAAAGAGTTAGTCAAAGAAAGAGTTAGTGAAGGAAAGAGTTAGTCACAGGAAGAGTTAGCAAAGAAAGAGTTCGTCAGGGAAAGAGCTAGTCAAAGAAAGAGTTAGTCAAAGAAACAGTTAGCCAGGGAAAGAGTTAGTCAAAGAAAGAGTTAGTGAGGGAAAGAGTTAGTCAAAGAAAGAGTTAGCAAAGAAACAGTTAGTCAGGGAAAGAGTTTGTCAAAGAAAGAGTTAGTGAGGGAAAGAGTTAGTCACAGAAAGAGTTAGCAAAGAAAGAGTTCGTCAGGGAAAGAGTTAGTCAAAGAAAGAGTTAGTCAAAGAAACAGTTAGTCAGGGAAAGAGTTAGTCAAAGAAAGAGTTAGTGAGGGAAAGAGTTAGTCAAAAAAAGAGTTAGCAAAGAAACAGTTAGTCAGGGAAAGAGTTAGTCAAAGAAAGAGTTAGTGAGGGAAAGAGTTAGTCAAAGAAAGAGTTAGTGAGGGAAAGAGTTAGTCAAAGAAAAAGTTAGTCAAACAAAGAGTTAGTCAAAGAAACAGTTAGCCAGGGAAAGAATTAGTCAAAGAAAGAGTTAGTGAGGGAAAGAGTTAGCAAAGAAACAGTTAGTCAGGGAAAGAGTTAGTCAAAGAAAGAGTTAAAACTCTAGGATCGTTCCCTCACTGTAAATGGCATTGCAAGTGGTGCTGGTGGATGAGTTGCCGATGGAGTTGTGAAGGAAGTCTCGCACGAAATGCATTTTTGAGAGATAGCAGATGCACGAAACCCTATGTTTTTCCATACAAAGTCCGTCCCCGAACGTCGATGATCTACCTCTGCGGTGCGACGGGTGCGAGACGGTCTCGTGTGTGGTCAGATCATGGGCGGATTCGTCTCGGATTGATCTCGGATCGGTTCCGCATTGTAAATGGGGTTTCAACTGTTTTTCGTGCATGTGTGGTCGACAGAATTCCATTGTGATTTGCAACTGTAGGATCGTTCCCGCAATGTAAATGGGATTGCAAGTGGTGCTGGTGGATGAGTTGCCGATGGAATTCCATTGTGATTTGCAACTCTAGGATCGTTCCCTCACTGAAAATGGGATTGCAAGTGGTGCTGGTGGAGGAGTTGCCGATGGAGTTTTGAAGGAAGTCTCGCACGAAATGCGTTTTTGAGAGATAGCAGATGCACGAAAGCCTATGTTTTTCCATACAAAGTGCGTCCCCGAACGTCGATGATCTACCTCTGCGGTGCGACGGTTGCGAGACGGTCTCGTGTGTGGTCGGATCATGGGCGGATCATGTTCGGATCGGTTCCGCATTGTAAATGGGGGTTTCACCTGTGTTTCGTGCATGTGCGGTCGACAGAATTCCATTGTGATTTGCAACTGTAGGATCGTTCCCGCAATGTAAATGGGATTGCAAGTGGTGCTGGTGGATGAGTCGCCGATGGAATTCTATTGTGATTTGCAACTCTAGGATCGTTCCCTCACTGTAAATGGGATTGCAAGTGGTGCTGGTGGAGGAGTTGCCGATGGAGTTTTGGAGGAAGTCTCGCACGAAATGCGTTTGTGAGAGATAGCAGATGCACGAAAGCTTATGTTTTTCCATACAATGTGCGTCCCCGAACGTCGATGATCTACCTCTGCTGTGCGACGGGTGCGAGACGGTCTCGTGTGTGGTCGGATCATCCTCGGATCATGCTCGGATCGGTCTCGGATCATGGTCGGATCGGTTCCGCATTGTAAATGGGGTTTTAACTGTTTTTCGTGCATGTGTGGTTGACAGAATTCCATTGTGATTTGCAACTGTAGGATCGTTCCCGCATTGTAAATGGGATTGCAAGTGGTGCTGGTGGATGAGTTGCTGATGGAATTCCATTGTGATTTGCAAGTCTAGGATCGTTCCCTCCCTGTAAATGGTTGCGTCAAGGTTCCTTCGTGCTGTGGCTGCATTGGTAATACTATTGTCTTTTGCAGCTGGACTTCGTAAATCGTATTGGAGTGGCTGCATGAAGGCTGCCACAGTGATTTGTTGGCAGATTTTCTCCATTTTGGCGCTAGTGAATTTCCTTCTAAAAATTCTTTTAAAAAGTGCTTCAAAATCGTCTTTTTTTTCGCTCTGGCGTCGAGATCCGGTTTTGGAGCTACAATTTCCGACGCCGTTGCGCGTAGTTCTATTGTGTTTTGCAACTCAGTCTCTGCAGATCGCATTGTAATGGCTGCGTCAAGGTTGCTTCGTGCTGTGGCTGCATTTGTCATACTCTATTGTCTTTTGCAGCTCGATCTCGTAAATCGTATTGGAGTGGCTGCATGAAGGCTGCGACATGGATTTGTTAGCAGATTTTCTCCATTTTGGCGCTAGTGATTTTCCTTCTAAAAATCCTTTTAAAAAGTGCTTCAAAATCGTCTTTTTTTCGCTCTGGCGTCGAGATCCGGTTTTGGAGCTACAATTTCTGACGCCGTTGCGCGTAGTTCTATTGTGTTTTGCAACTCAGTCTCTGCAGATCGCATTGTAATGGCTGCGTCAAGGTTGCTTCGTGCTGTGGCTGCATTTGTCATACTATTGTCTTTTGCAGCTCGATCTCGTAAATCGTATTGGAGTGGCTGCATGAAGGCTGCGACATGGATTTGTTAGCAGATTTTCTCCATTTTGGCGCTAGTGTTTTTTTGTTGCACGTAGGTTTAGAGCAGTGTGAAGTGTGGGGCGTGAAGAGTGCAGTGTGAAGTGTGCAGTGTGAAGGAAGCAGTGGGAAGTGAGAAGTGTGAAGTGTGGAGTGTGAAGTTTAAGTTTGGAGTGCGAAGAGCGCAGTGTGAAGTGTGAAGTGTGAGGTTTGGAGTGTGAAGGAAGCAGTGAGAAGTGTGAAGTGTGGACTGTGAAGTGTGAAGTGTGAGTGAAGTGTGGAGTGTGAAGTGCGAAGTGAGAAGTGGGAAGTGTGAAGTTTGGAGTGTGAAGTTTGGAGTGGGAAGGAAGCAGTGAGAAGTGAGAAGTGTGAAGTGTGGACTGTGAAGTGTGGAGTGTGAAGTGCGAAGTGAGAAGTGAGAAGTGTGAAGTTTGGAGTGTGAAGGAAGCAGTGAGAAGTGAGAAGTGTGAAGTGAGAAGTGTGAAGTGTGGACTGTGAAGTGTGGAGTGCGAAGAGCGCAGCGTGAAGTGTGAAGTGTGAAGTGTGAGGTTTGGAGTGTGAAGGAAGCAGTGGGAAGTGTGAAGTGTGGACTGTGAAGTGTGAAGTGTGAGTGAAGTGTGGAGTGTGAAGTGCGAAGTGAGAAGTGTGAAGTTTGGAGTGTGAAGTTTGGAGTCGGAAGGAAGCAGTGAGAAGTGAGAAGTGTGAAGTGTGGACTGTGAAGTGTGGAGTGTGAAGTGCGAAGTGAGAAGTGTGAAGTTTGGAGTGTGAAGGAAGCAGTGAGAAGTGAGAAGTGTGAAGTGAGAAGTGTGAAGTGTGGACTGTGAAGTGTGGAGTGCGAAGAGCGCAGCGTGAAGTGTGAAGTGTGAGGTTTGGAGTGTGAAGGAAGCAGTGAGAAGTGTGAAGTGTGAAGTGTGAGTGAAGTGTGGAGTGCGAAGTGCGAAGTGAGAAGTGTGAAGTGTGAGTTTTGGAGTGTGAAGTTTGGAGTGGGAAGGAAGCAGTGAGAAGTGTGAAAGTGTGGAGTGTGAAGTGTGGAGTGTGAAGTGCGAAGTGAGAAGTGTGAAGTTAGGAGTGTGAAGGAGCAGTGAGAAGTGAGAAGTGTGGAGTGTGAAGTGCGAAGTGAGAAGTGTGAAGTGTGAAGTTTGGAGTGTGAAGGAAGCAGTGAGAAGTGAGAAGTGTGAAATGTGGAGTGTGAAGTGTGAAATGCGAAGTGAGAAGTGTGGACTGTGAAGTGTGAAGTGTGAAGTGTGGACTGTGAAGTACGAAGTGTGAAGTGTGGACTGTGAAGTGTGAAGTGTGAAGTGTGGACTGTGAAGTGTGAAGTGTGAAGTGTGGACTGTGAAGTGTGAAGTGTGCAGTGTGAAGTGTGAAGTGTGAAGTGTGAGGTTTGGAGTGTGAAGGAAGCAGTGAGAAGTGAGAAGTGTGGAGTGTGAAGTGTGGAGTGTGAAGTGTGAAGTTTGGAGTGCGAAGAGTGCAGTGTGCAGTGTGAGGTGTGGAGTGTCGAGGGAAGGACACGGTCGGGACAGGGTGTCTTTGAACTATAGGTCATTTATGTTTGGGAAACTTCCGCCGCCAGCTTGCCCGGGTCTATGTTAAACCATGATAAAACCATGGTTTCCCGTAGATTTTCCATACTTTTCCCTTCACCCACCGTTCTCGAGGCTGCCGAGCTGCCTTCACCCGATACTTCTGCCTCACCTCTGGCGCTGTGTACTTCCTGCGGTGCGCAGACGGCGCGGCTGATGGCCTGCGGCCACGTGGCGTGCCAAGGGCATGAGACCTGCAACTGCGAGGGCAAGGAGCTGGCGGTGAGTTTGGACTTCCGGAACTGTGAGGAGAAGGGCGGAACCACCGCCATTTTGGCCGGGCTGGGAAGAAACTGCAGTTGTGGTCAATTTGTTTTCTGTTGGACATTGTGATGTATGCATGGTGTGCGTTGTTCTTTTTCGTTTGGACCGACCACATCCAACCACTGCCCTGAGAGGATTCCTCGGTCTGCTCCAAGATTGATGGCATGGTGCGCACCATTCAAAAAATTCTCTCTGAAAATCCCAAAGTTCAATGCTTGGTTTTCTCCCAGTGGACCTCGACTTTGCGAAAGCTGGAGGACGCTCTGCGTGCGCAAAACCTGGAATCGATCATGCCAGGTTCCACAAAACGGCGACGTGGCCGTACGGCTGTGAAGTCCATAGTTCTGCTGACCACTGACTTTCTTTGCTCGGAAAAACTTGGACGACAAGACAGACAGGAACATGCTGCCTTGGATGAGCACGCAGTGACCCGACATGTTTTTCTGGCCAACACTTTCTACACGGCACCCGCCTTCACGGCTGACGTGCTCGAGCAACGAATCATCGACTTTGCCAAGACGAGTCAACTTGGGGTTGCCTCAGCAGCGATCCTTCACCGTTTTGTGATGAATGATACGGTCCCGCGGCATGGAACAATGGATGCGTTTGTCCAAAAGAGGGGATACACCAAACTTATCCGCAACATCCTTTGATAATGAGGGTTCAAACATGTTCAAACCATGGGGTTTTGAAAGGGTTTTCCCATGTTTTCCCGTCATTTTCAGAGAACTTGGAGGAATTTGGAGGACGTGATTTGCCCATTAAGGCAGCCCTCGAGGCTTGCAGCAGACAGTGCATGTCTTGTCAATACCTGGCCAGCTTCAATATGTAGGGAGAGACATGGACCCAGATGGTGAGCTCACGATTTAATTGTATCATCTATACCTGCCACATATCAATATATATATAAGATCATGTATCATATGAGGATATATATACATATAATATATGAATCATATAACATATGTATATATATATATATGTATTAATATATACATATATATATATCTAGACTATAGATGCCAACAAAAACATATTCACTACAATAATACATTCATAAATATCATGTATGATGAATTATATCTGCAAAATTCTGCAAGTATTGCACCATAAACTCTAACAATGACCATCCAAAGCATTTGAAGATCCCTTTCTGAACGGGAAACCATGGGTTCAGCCGAGATTGAAGCCACTGGCGAGCTGATTTCAGCGGAGACTGGCCACAAGGCCCACTGTCCTGAGCTGCCACAGGTGGGTCATGGAAAAACCCTATGGATTCTGGGGGATTTTCAACATGATTATAAACGGGATTATATAGTAAATATATGGGATTATGTGAGATTTCGTGGGATTTAACATGATTAATAAGTCACTATCAATGGATAGAAATGGATGGATTTCACCAGCAAAAGATGGGATTTTATTTTAGACCATCCATTTTATATGGATGTAGTGGGGATGTAATGAGGTTATGGTGAGGATATAACTTGACATAACCATGTACCCAACAATATGCCCTAGAATCCTGGACCTGTGCTGTGGGTTTGCAAAGCCAGGGTCAATCAATCACCACCCCAGCTCCTAGCTGAACCATTGCCAAACCATACCAAGCCTCCCAGAAAAACATGGTTAGAGGGATATGATAGGGATATGTTGAATGGGAAACTCCGGAAACTCCCACATTTGGAGTAAAACTATGGAGTTTCCTATGGATTTCCCCGAAAAAATCAACACCTCTGAACCACGAGGCATGAAGCGAAAGCGCGCTGTTCAGATGGCTTTGGTGCCATGACAAGATGAAGGATTGGGACATGGCCAAAGTTGCACAAGATTTTGGAATTCCAACAAATCAGATTTCGGATGGCCTTAAAAACCATGATTTTAGCATCTTTTTGCGGCCAGGAGTTTGAGTTGAAATGGATTTTCGCAAAGGAACCACTTTCCCAATCCTTCTGATTGCGATTTTTGACCGTTTCTTTGGTCTCACTGGGTGACCCATTTGTACAGTACACTGGGAGGTGCCCAGGTGTTGATTTCTGCGCCAAACCGGCAGCAGAGGTTCGAAACTGTGCGCACTTTGGAAAGCCACAAAAACGATCGAAGGATGGAATTCTTTTCAACGTGGCCATAATTAGTTGGGATTATCCAATAATAGTACAATATGGCCACGTTGAAAATAAGCATTAAAATACTATGGTTGAAAATAAGCATTATCCAATAATAGTTATCATTATTGTAACTATTATCCAATAATAGTTGATGAAGAATTGGATAATAGTTACAATAATAATAATGCTGTAATACGCATGGAAGTTTGGACACAGAGTAATCCACAAAAGTGACTGGACGCCGGGATGCCCTGTCATGGATGAGACGGAGCAAAAAACTGGATTGGCAAGAGATTACCAGTTGCAGTACCATGAGTAGCCCAATGTCCAACACTTCGAATGTGTCAAAGTGTCAAAAACTTTGTGCCCCAAACCCCAATTTTTCTCATTTTTTGTATTAACTCATCCGCATGTGTTGCATGCACTGACTCAACGGCTATGGTTCAGAACTCTTCACCAGCAAAATTGGATGGTTCAGGGTCACAACACCATATTATCAAAGTGTAAAGAATAGCGGTAGACAGCAAACATTGTGGTAATATCACATATTTACATAAACAAATCTAACATTATCTAGCTAAAAACAATTAAAAACCATTGCAAGAAAAGCATGTCCCAAAATTTATATCTGCGCCAAAGGTGGAAGATTTGAAGGCGACGAATCGCCTGGTGCAAACGCCCTTGGAAGCAGTGGATGCTCTCTTTGGGGAGGTGGGGTTGCTGGTTGCCAGCTGCGATTGCAGCATCCCCTGGTATACTGTCAAGGATCAGGGACAATCTGAGATGGCCAGTTGGAAAAGAAAGGGTCATTTTAATGGAAAATCATTGGCAAACACTGAGCATTTTCCTTCTGGTCATGTTAGCTGCGGAGTATTCCTGGATAAGTCTTTGACATCTTCCATCTTCGGGCAGATCAAAGTGTCGCGAGATTCCAGTCGCTATTCAACTCCTTGGCAAAACGTGTGAATTGGGGAAGTCTACTCCTGGCCGTTGGAACATGTTGGAACAACTGCTTGGTTCACCGCAGATTTGAACATTTTTCCTAGACATACGCAATTTTGGGGCAACTACAGTAGGTGTTTCTCAAAATTTGGGTAGCCCATGTCGCCTTTGGTTTCCCCGTTCGGAATCCTCCATATTCTTGAACCATACAGCCCCCCAAAAAGATCGAACAGGTGAAATTTACCAAACAAAATAAGTCACTATAAATAAGTCACTTTTATGGGATTATGTAGTAAATATATGGGATTATGTGAGATTTTATGGGATTTAAATGGACAATGATTTCCTGCAACGTTTGGATCTTCCAGGTGGGGTTGCTCATCCCCACCCTGAAGCCGCACCGCCCTAGGCGACTTCGGCTTGGACCTATGAGGTGGCCACTGCGCTAGTTGACCCTGAGGCCGGATGGGGATGGTTGGTTCACCAGAGGGGGACCTCGTGGCACCTTCAACCACTGCTTTTTTTGGGGCAAAATGGCCAAGAACTGGGGTCAAAGTCCTGAAAATAGGTGGAAGACCTACACTTCCCACTTTTTCTGTGGGGTAACACGCCCAATGGGTAAAGCGCCAACATCTTTGGATTTCCCAAATCCGCCATGTCCGCCACGAGGCAAAGTTGCCGGAAGATGAGAAAGGCAACCGACTGAGTACACGTTTCGATACGAAAACAACTGCTACATCTTGAACCAAACCCAGGAAAACTCGTTCAGGACAGAGGCTTGTCGCCAGAACAGTGGGAAAAATTGCAACGTCCTCTGAGTTTGCTTTTTGCTTTCATCTTCTGTTCAGAGAAAATATGCGTGGTTGCAACGTTGAGGCTTGAGAGTCGTGGATGCGTAGGGTGCCCCAGTCGGTCAGATCTCAGAACGATTCAAATTCAGCCATGACGGCATAGGGACAGAGGGGACAGAGCATGTTTGAACCCCGTTTTTGTGAGTCAAGTTTCATGACACCTGCCTGTCCTTCTAAGTTTTGACGCTTCTGTTCCAATACTTTAACTGGTGTGTCACTTTGGCTTTGAAAGAGATGGTTTAGCCCGCTTTTTGGAGAAGTAATCTTCAGCTTTTGAACAGGTTCCTGGACAATGTGGGCTACTGTGTGTCTGCCAGCAGCACGAGGCCATGGTGCTTTGAAACTGACTGCTTTGAGTCGCTTAGGGGCAGACAGACCAGGGTCTGGGGCAAACCGCGACCTGTCCCGCAGCCATCATTCCAGTTCCAACGGCAACAGTGCTTCCGCGATAACTCGTCAAACCCTTCGCCATGGGTTGGGGACACGGTGGTAAGGGCTATTGGCACCACGGGCACCATCACCATCATCATGCTCATGGTCTTGGGAAGGCAGTGGCAGAAGCTGCCGTCCTTGGCACTGCAGCCATTGCCGGAGCAGCAGTTGCCACCGCCGTCGCAAACCGCGCACCACCGCCGCCACGGCGTGAAGTCGTGGTGGTCCCAGCAGTAGCCACAGCTGCACCTGTAGCCACTGCAACCCCTGTGTTTGGAACGGCGACTGCTCCAGTGGTGGTTGTGAAAGGAAAAGGAAAAGGATGGAAAGGCAAGGGCAAAGGCAAGACGGAAGTCATTGAAGTTCCCCCTCTTGGAGTGTCAGCAGTTGGCATTCCGGCATCTGCTCTCTCGAAGCAGGGTGGTGTGACCTACTTCGGTGTGGATGTGGTGCCAGAGACCGGGGCTTCCTACCGAGTGCAGAAGCGATACAACGACTTTGAAAAGTTGAAGGACAGATCAAGCGGGGAGACAGGAATGGAAAGTATGGAAAGTTAGGATCCCAGTCAATCCCAGTGGCTTCATAAGGTTTCCATTTGCAACTCAACTGTCACCATTGATATATTTGCGCAGCTTCTTTTCGATATTTTTGCATTTGTAGCAGACATAAAGCCACTTCAGAAAAGTTGATCCTTGGATTTATTCAGATCCCAAGCTTGCCAGGACAGCCTCAACTATATGGCGCCAGGGTCCAGAGTGACCTCCGATTTTCCTCCAAAGCATCTCTTTAGCTGCGAAGGGCCTAAACTTGAAGACCGACGCCATGGCTTGGAGAGGTTGGATGGGAGGGAAGTGCAAAATGATTTCTAGATATTGATGTTTCTAGATTCAGTCTGATTCGGTGATTTTCTTTGCAGAGTTTGAAACATGAGAATTGCAAGATGTCGCAAGTGACCGAAGTTTGCTTTACTTTCACCATTTTTCACCTTTCAAGTTTCAGACTTTCCAGGTGGTTGACCCGTGTGCTGAACGATCCCCACAGCCGGGGCCTTTGGTGTTTGGAGCTTCGTCAATTCCTGGAAGTTGGTGGGGTCCACACCCTTCCTGGCACCCTTCCTTCGGCCGAACCCCCAATTCCAGCAGCCTCCGCACCAGTCGAACCTGAAGGAGACTCGCTGGATGTTGGGAACTTGGTAACGACACACAGATATTATATAAATGAGCTGGTCATTGTTGGAATTCTAGAAAGGAATGTTCAGCTGGAACCGAAACCATGAAGAATATTGGATTTTGTCGCCAAGACCATGGTTCTTTGCAATGTGTAGAAATCAGAAACAAACCTCATGTGTACTCAATATATACTGCAGGACAAGTCTTGCAGATTGCGATTCCTGCGGGAGTCAGCAGCGGACAGACGTTGTCTGTGACTGTGCCTGATGGACAACAACTCAACTTCACCGTCCCCCCGGGTGTGTCCGGGGGGTCAGAGCTACAATTGTGGTATGACCCAGTAGCTGGCACTGTCAGTCCTTTGGTCTGACCGTGCCTTGAGCTGTTGCCAGCTATCAACCCCGAAACCCAGAAGGTTCAGTGCTGCTGGGAGCATGGAATCTGAAGGTTTAGTGCTCCAAGAGCATGCTTGCCCTTGCGCAATGTTTCATTCATACAATGTTTGACTCCTCTCCAAGCACTGCCACTTGGGCAGTGACAAGAAGGAATGTTGGCTTTGCTAGAAAGCCACCAATATCTTCATTTTGCAGAATGCATCAGCATGCCTTTTTGCTTAACTCTTTGCTATGCTTGTACAGAACAGCGTACAGAGAGTGCAGTGAACAAAAAACATACTATCCTCTGCAGTATGAGCGTCAGCCCACTCATATGATTCTTTGGCAATATCTTTGGCATTAGACGCTACAATTACTCTGTCCATGTTTGTTTTCTTCTTTGAAATGCAGGCTTTCGACCAAGCACATGCAACACTTGTCAGATTGGGAACGACCTTCACCATTTCTACCTTAGCTATCTACAAGGGTTTTGGGCATAAGTTCACCAGAGCCATGATGACCATCATTCATCCTGCAGCCGTCATTCCAAAACTCGAACGGCCAAAGGGTGCTTTCCTGAAAACCATTTGAAGCCTGCCATGGGTTGGGGAAAGGGCAAAGGCTATTGGCATCACCATCATCATCCTCATGGCATTGGAAGGGCCGTGGCAGAGGTTGCCGTTGTTGGCAGTGCAGCCATTGCCGGAGCAGCAGTTGCCACCGCTGTCGCAGCAAACCGCGCACCACCGCCGCCACGGCGTGAAGTCGTGGTGGTCCCAGCAGTAGCCACAGCTGCACCTGTAGCCACTGCAACCCCTGTGTTTGGAACGGCGACTGCTCCAGTGGTGGTTGTGAAAGGAAAAGGAAAAGGATGGAAAGGCAAGGGCAAAGGCAAAGGCAAGACGGAAGTCATTGAAGTTCCCCCTCTTGGAGTGTCAGCAGTTGGCATTCCGGCATCTGCTCTCTCGAAGCACGAGGGTGTGACCTTCTTTGGTGTGGATGTGGTGCCAGAGACCGGGGCTTCCTACCGAGTGCAGAAGCGATACAACGACTTCGACCAGTTGAAGGACAAGTAACGGAGGTGGAAGATGAGAGAATACCTGTCATAGTTCCATTTTGTCTCCCGTCTCCAAAGCTTGTAAACTTGCTGCATCCACTGCATCAATGTTGTGCAGCCACCTCGCTACATGACACAATGCCAAAGGCAAGGCCAGCTCCAGAAATTAAAACTTGGCTTTGTTCAAAAGCTTGCCAGGACAGCCTCAACTATATGGCGCCAGGGTCCAGAGTGACCTCCGATTTTCCTCCAAAGCATCTCTTTAGCTGCGAAGGGCCTAAACTTGAAGACCGACGCCATGGCTTGGAGAGGTTGGATGGGAGGGAAGTGCAAAATGATTCCTAGATATTGATGTTTCATTGATATTTCTAGATTCAGTCTGATTCGGTGATTTTCTTTACAGAGTTTGAAACATTGCAAGATGTCGCAAGTGACCGAAGTTTGCTTTACTTCCACCATTTTTCACCTTTCAAGTTTCAGACTTTCCAGGTGGTTGACCCGTGTGCTGAACGATCCCCACAGCCGGGGCCTTTGGTGTTTGGAGCTTCGCGGATTCCTCGAAGTCGGTGGGGTCCATACCCTTCCAGACCAAGCACCGCCCCTGGCAGCCTCTGCACCAGCCGAAGCTGAAGGCGGGGGAAAGGTCGTTGGTACTGTAACAGATCAACTTTTTCTCCATGGACACTGTGTCTATTGCCTCTATATAAATATAAATCATCATCTACATAAGCACACAGACAGAGTCAGAGGTTTCCGGCTGGTTAGATATCAGGAAATCTGTGTACTCTCAATTATATATTCAGATCCTCAGCACGTCAAGTCTGCCGCACCTGTACGTATTACTTGCTCCAGTTTCGATAGCTGTGAAATGCATCCGCATCCACATCCTTATATCCAATTGAATCTCAATACGCATGCATGTGAACAGGACAGGAATGGGACTGGAGCAACTGGAGTGCCACTTATTTCCCTGTTCTGCAGGACAAGTCTTGCAGATTGCGATTCCCGCGGGAGTCAGCGGCGGACAGACGTTGTCTGTGACCGTGCCTGATGGACAACAACTCAACTTCACCGTCCCCCCGGGTGTGTCCGGGGGGTCAGAGCTACAATTGTGGTATGACCCAGTAGCTGGCACTGTCAGTCCTTTGGTCTGACCGTGCCTTGAGCTGTTGCCAGCTATCAATCCTGAAATCCAGAAGGTTCAGTGCTGCTGGGAGCATGGAATCTGAAGGTTTAGTGCTCTGGAGAGCATGCTTGCCCTTGCGCAACGTTTCACTTACAACATGATTCACTCGCGAGCCACCGTTTCTTGGGCAGTGGCAAGGAGTGTTGGCTTTCCTAGAAAGCCGTCAATCACGTTTTCATTTTTGCATATTTTTGCAAAGTGCTTTTTTTTGCTCATCTCTTTGCATTGCACAGAACAGTTATAGATAGAAAGCGCGTCGAACGAGAGAAACGTCTCCCTTTGTCCGGGATCATCTCCAAGAACCGTTCAATGGCAATTTTTTTCAATGCCAAGATTGGGAGATCTGAGCTTGTCTGAAGCTAGAGTCCCCCAAGATGACATGGTTCCAGAACGTGTTTTTTCATATTTTTTCCATTACTTAGTGGCTGTAAGTTGAGGGTGCGTCCTTTAGTTTTGGGCAAACCCACATCATGGGCTGTTGTTGATCTATCCCCATGGCCATAACCCCGGAATGCTCCCAGACTCCTTATGATATCCCATGATTTGACGGTTAAGTTAAGTTAATTTCGATTAAATCCTACGTAAAATCCCAGGATTGTTAATGCTTAACTCCCATTTGAAGCCCATTTGATGGTTAAATCCGATTATTTGATGGTTGAATCATCTTAAATCCCATTTCATCCTAATTTCTCATGGTAAAAATGGTAAAATCCCAATTTTCCCAATTCTTTGATGGTTAAATCAGTTAAATCCCATCAAAAGCCTGGGACACTGGGCCAAGTCCTGCCTTCTGCCTTCGTGTAGGTATCTTCACCGGGCCGTGCGAGGCCGAGTACCTGGCATCCTACATCAATGTCGCCTGCCTGAGGACCATCCGAGGATGAAATGATCGGTGCAACGGGGGGGCCATATTTATACCATATTTATACCGTTTGATATCCATTGATGTGGGGAAAATGATGATAAACCCATGATAAACCAGGATGAAGCTCTGGACATATTTTGTTGAATACTAAGTTGAATAGCCTATTTTCAGACAAAGCAAAGGGTGAAATGAAGCACTTGACTGGTGATGAACAAGCGAAAATGGGGTATACAATGGCATGAGACCATCAAAACAATTCAACACATATCGAAAAAATGGGGTGTAAACCATCAACCATGTTCAAACATTAGGCCATAGGGTTATAAACTATCAAACATCGGGTTGAAACCATGGGTTTATCACTGAAAAACCATGAAACATATTTTTTTTTTCCACACCGATGGGTGGCAAAATCTTTAGCACGATACTTTAGGCAGTTGGAACTACAGCACGGATTCAACCTAATCGGATGATTCGCATCCATAGCTACCAGCAACTTTCCCAGCACCAGGGTGTTGATTCATGGCCTTAAAAAAGGCCGCTGCCAACCAATTTGCAGCAGAGATTGTTTGCATCAATCACACAGTCTTTTTAAAACATAAAAAAGCGCATGTAACCAATGGTAGAGTAATGTCGATATGTCAAAACTTCGAGGTTTCGGAACATTGGATGGTCAGATTTTCCATATATTTTTTTGGTGAAATGACATTTTATTTGATTTTCTAGAGATTTTTCCAGATTTGTTTGGTGAAATCCGGTGAAATGACCATTTTTTTGTTGGTGAAATGACCGGGGAAACGAGCGATCGAAGCACAGGACCCGGAGCCGCCCGAGCTCCAAGACCCCGATGAGGCATGCCGCCATGCCAGCCACTGCTCCTCCCGGAAGGCCTCCGCCATGATTTCATGGGAATTTCATGGGGATTTCATGGGAATATCGGAAGATATATATTAATAATTATATATATATATAAATATAACTTATATAACCTACATCATGAAACGGTGTAGACTCCTACTTGTGACATGATATCATTGATGTTTATTGATGTTTATTGCCGAGTTTCCTTTCATGGTTCATAATTGGGATGCTTTATGGCATTGTGGATATTGTGGATCGCACATAGGATTGAATCCAGAGGAATAGACATACATATACATACACATATATATATATATGTATATATATATAAGGTACTCCGGTCACATAGAATATGATATGCGTTTTTTTCAATTTTGCAGTTGAACTCGATCGCTCAATTTTGCAGTTGAACTCGATCGCTCATCAACTTAGAATATTCCCCCATTTCATGTTCATTTTTTTTCTCCCTATTTGGTGAAAAACGACATTTTTTCTCCCCATTTGAATTATCAACATATCACCCATACTGCAGCATAAATGGACATAAATAGACCTTTTTCAAATTTTCACCCCACCAAAATCCTTTGAATTATCAAAATATCATCCGTACTGCAGCATACATGGACATACATGAACATTTTTCAAGCTTTCACTCCACTAAAATCTTTTGAATTATCAAAATATCACCCATACGGCAACATAAATGGACATGAATGAACAAGTGAAAGAATTTGTATGGCAAAAATATGGAAAAGTGAAGAATTTGTATGGAAACGTGAAGGATTTATAAAGAAAAGTGAAGAATTTCTATGGAAAAATGACGAATTCGTCTGGAAAAGTGAAAGAATTTATATGGCCCAACGATATTCTAAGTATAGGTTTTTTGACGTCAACTGTATTCTAAGTATCCTGTTTCAAGTTCAATTCTGGGGATGCCCTGGGAAGCCAAAATTTTTCAGTTTCATATTCTATGTGGGTGGAGTACTTTATATATATAAGACATAAATGATGATCAAGACTGGAGAAACCCTAAACAACTTGTGGATTTCTTACGAATAGTCTCTGACAGTTGGCTTCGAGTGCAAGGTGGTGCTTCTGTACTATTTGGGCCCGAGCAAGGCCGTGGCAAGCGGGGGCCTCGACGTTAAGTGTCTGTGCCAAGTTGTTGCGATTAACCTTTGGAAATCAAACATGGCGACGAAAAATCCATCATGCATGGTAAATCATTACTTTAAATCTCTATAGTAACGCCCAGAAAGATGGATCTTAGTAACATCATACTAAAATAGCAACAAATGTATAGGGTAACAGGACAACATTTACCGCGGTTGCAGTTTCCTGAGGCCTATGTCCCAGAGGCGATGCGAGCAAGATCTACGAGGCGATGCCAGCAGAGGATCTGGCATTTGTTTTTCTTAAAGGGATGAGATCTGCATCATAATGATGATGATGATGATGGTGGTGGTGGTGGTGGTGATGATCCCAACTAACTTTCATATTGTTGGATCGGCTGAAACCAACCGGGTAGGCTTCATCCAGAGACTCAGAAGCCCGCTGACAGGTGCGAATAGAGGAGGATACGGTCCTTGTCTACTTGAACGATGCCTGTGAGCTGTACCTGCAGGTGTGTACGGGAACATGGGAGTTTCGCATTTGACGCAGCGTGGACTCTAAACAAGATCTTGGGATGTTGCAACACACGTTTGGAATATGGACGTGATCCCATGAAATATGTGCGGGCTCAATGGCCGAGACCATCCCCAAGATGACCATGGGACCATATGGGACCATGGTGAACAAAACCCATCCCCGGTTGACCATTCCAGGAGCTGGGCCCTGGCCGAATCTTTGAGGTCGGCCGAGTCATAATTGGTGGGGAAGAATTGCCGGATTTTTTTTTTCAGATTTGGCTCTTAAATCATGTGGCAGTGTGTCAAAACCTTGTACCCCTGTAGTTCACATCAAAATAGCTGGGATTTATGGATGTTCATCCCAGTAAAAAAGGTATTAATAGGTATTGATCCATACCCATGTTAAACCCATGGTTTCAGGTCAAGCAATTCCCTTAAAGCATTGCCGGCAGGTGAACCTGATGTTGCAGACGAAGCAGTCGCAACAGCAGGCACCCAAGGACTCAGCTGGTCTGTTCCTTTCTTGAATTTCAGGAAGTCTGGTTATGACCTGCATATTGAGGATTGCTCAACAAATATCTACTGATGAAGGGTTCCAGGTGGCATAGCTTGCACTGTCTCAACACATGGCAAAACAACTGATCCATGGTCCAAGTGATGTCACGGCCCCGAAGCCTTTTGGGCTTTGTCATTTCCTCTTCGCCGAGCCCGAAGCCCCTTCGGGTGAAATCACCTTGAAAACAGCTGCTGGGCTCAACTAGAGATGCATTCAATACATTCATTCCCACAGATATCCTCTTAATTACAATGTGGGCCCCCCCAGTTATAAGATGGTTTATAAACCCCATTAACTATAGTTATAGGTACCATAAACCATAGTTATTGGAGTTATAAACCAACTTAGCTATCTAGGGGGCTCCTCTTAATTAGGATGGTTTTGTCTTTTTGAGTCTTGCAATTCTCACACATGTGAACCTCACAAGATCCTGGACATGGAATTACAACATGTGGTTGTGCCCCACAATATGGGCTTGTTCAGCAAGATTTTGGGGTCCAACAAATGATGGAACTATCCAAAATGAGTACATAGTCGATGAACATATCCACAACTCATATCCATCATTCCATCATTCCATCATTTCATAATTCCATAATTTCATAATTCGTGAACTATGAATCCATAATTCCATAGTTCTATAATTCCTTTATTGGTTAATGGATAATAGATAGACTCCTCCATATCCACAACTGATGGAGATTTCCGTAGCCCTTCACTGGCCTGGTGCCCCTGAGGCATCTTACAGCTGGCCAGACGCCTGCCTCAGCGGGGCGCGGGTGGATTCGCAGTAGGAGTAACGCGGCCCGGTCTTTTGAACAGAAACAGATGGAATTCCCAAGATGTTTCATGTTCATGTTCAGCAACCCAAGAATGGATGAAACAAACACATATATAGATAGACGTGTTCTTGAATTCATATTTTGCGCGCATGTCAACATCATGAACATTGCAAAATGACTGTCAAGTTCTGTCTGCCATTTGTTATGACTTTTGTTCTAGTCAGCAAACTGCCAACCGTTAACAGAGTGAACAGTGTCACTAGTTTTTGGCCG